CAGATGTTCCATTTGATGAAAGACTTATTCCTATTTGTATTGATAACAACCAAACTGAAGACAAGGATCCTTAATCCCTAATAATCATAAAGTTTCTTGCGTTGACCAAGGATTATGTGATATAAACAAAATACACACTGCTGTTTTGTGATATAATTCTTTGCATTGATGCTGTCTGCATGTTTCAATGTTCAGGAAAAAGAGTCTTTTATACTATGAGGGGAATACTATGGTGTTCATAACTCTGGCCTGTAATTGTCACCATTTTCAGTTTTTACATTTATGCTTTCTAAATTCTGGCAAGTTGGTTCCTGTTCCTGTTATGATGTACTGACAAGCCTGCACATGTATTAGGGATGCCTGAACTTGTTATAAAATACATGGCTCCCAGACTGCATGAGACCACAGCTAGGGTGATGGGTTTTGGAATAGATTACTTCAAAATGGCTAGGAAAGCACAGTTGTCTTTTGAGCTTCTGAGACATAACAGCAAAACTCAAATATTCCTTTTTTTTAAAAAAAAAGGTGCAAACCAAGCCAGTAAAGTTTGTAGATGTGGATCTCACTGATAAACACAATATTTTCCAGACATAATTTCCAGGATGTTGGTTTTCAGATGAAATTGGACAAAGTTCCAGAAGAACAGCCATCACTGCAGCCCTCCACTGATGTGGGCTTTATGGCAGAGTGGCTAGATGAAAGCCTCTCCTCATTCTGGAGTTTGCAAAAACCCACTTGAAAGACTCTCAGACTGGGAGAAACAAGATTCTCTGGTCTGGTGAAACAAAGATTGAACTGTTTTGCTGTCTACCCAATCTGCCATAAAGCCCAGATCAGTGGAGGGCTGCAGTTGCGGTTGTCCTCCAGTAAATGTGTCCCATCTCCACACAGGATCTCTGGAGTTCAGTCAGAGTGGCCGTCGGGTTCTTGGTCAGCTCTCTCTTACTAAGGCCCTTTTTCCTTGATTGCTCAGTTTGGCCGGGCATCCAGCTCTTGGAAGAGTCTTGATTGTGCCAACCTTCTTCCATTTGAGAATTATGGAAGTCACTGTGCTCTTGGAAACCTTCAATGCAGCAGTCATTTTTTGTAGCTTTCCCTAGATCTGTGTCTTGCAATAATCCTAGCTCTAAGCTCTGCAGGTAGTTCCTTTGACCTCATGGCGTTTGCTCTAATACAGTATGCATTGCCAGCTGTGAGGTCTTTTATAGAGAGAGGTGTGCCTTTCCAAATCATGTCCAATCAATTGACTTTACCACAGGTGGACTCCAATCAAGGTGTAGAAACATCTCTGCAACGAGAAATGGGAGGAACCTGAGCAAAATTTCAAGTGTTGCTGAAAAGGCTCTGAATACTTATGCCAATGTGATATTTCATTTTTTTTTTTATTTTTAATAAATTCAGTGATATTTCTAAAATTTTTTGTTTTCACTTTGTCATCATGAGGTACTGAATGTAGATTTATGTAAGACAAAAATGAATTTTAAAAATATATCAGGCTGCAACATAACAAAATTTAAAGAAGTAAAGCGGGTCTGAATACGTTCTGAATTTTTTTATATATATATATATATATATATATATATATATATATATATATATCCAATTTGGAAGATATACATATTAATTTGAATCCATAAGTATTTTCATAAAGAATTTTTTAAAATTATAAGTACTTAATACGTACAGCAAGAATCTTCTCATAAAACAGTTTTTATAATTCACTAGAACTGAGTGTTCTATCTGGGAAATATACTTGTCTAACATATAAACATTTTCTGTTAGAACATTGCTTAATAATATGGACTTGCCAAGTGATTTTACTGGAAAATGTGTTTGCTTTTATCTGCAGATAGGACTTTGACAGGAAACTCCAAAGTGAAGTCAGTGCCATAGGAAGTTCTATGCTTTATAAATGCTGGTGGTCAGTCACTAGGCTCTGCTCATTACACCAGTACAATGAAGCTCTTCGTAATACACCTACTCTGTGTATTGTTTGTTGTATGTGTCGTGGGCAAAGACAGGGAGTATTTCATTGGAATTCAAGAAATAGATTGGGATTATGCTCCTAGTGGAAAGAATGTCATTTCTGGAAATCCCATTGATAAAGATGAGTAAGTAAACTTTCTGACATATTTCTCAAATGAGCAAAACACTGGACTAAGAAGTCTAAGGATTGGCAGATCCTTCCTAACATTGTTACGGAAAATGTAATTTTTTACTTGTATACTGAGTAGAGTTGGTTTGGCCACATTTAAGTTTTTGGGGTGAGATTTTCCATCACTTCTAAGCAGGCACAAGAGGAAGTGAGAGGAAAGCTCTCCCAAGTCCCCACTGGAATATTTCTCCCCACACAATGTTTTTTGAAAGCCATAAAATGTTGCATTTCTCATCACTTTCTTTCCAGTAGACAGCCAGTGGAAAACAGAATAGAGAAGGTAAATCTCCACAGTGAGAACATGTACAACAATAAACAGGAGTCCCATTTTATTCTTCTATCCAAATCTTTAAAATGTCTTTAGATACTCTGTTAAACAGTGGAACAAATCACTGTTTTATTTTTGTTATGCAACATATTATATTGTCCACTGTACAATAAAATAATGTTATTAGCATAGGTATTTCATGTGTTTGTATAACACCGTGTTCTGATTATTGGTTTCTTCTGTTGTAAAGACAGCAAGAACATGGTTTTTATTAATAACCCTATTATTAGACCATGAATATTTAAAGCACCAATCTATTATGTGTTCTCTAAATTTCCTACAGATCCTTTTAATCTGCTTAGATCTTGGTAGGACATGACTCATAAATCATGTCTCATAGCCAAAACTGGAAGTGAGAGAAAATCCCTGCAAGTTAAGGGAACCCCAGGTTACCAGAACTAGTGACCCGATTGGAAAATGCCCCCCTCTTTTCTGGGGATGACCCAGATTTTGGAGTTTCTTTTACTTTCAGTTTCAAGGATAATGTTAAACAGGACAAATAGAGAGGGTGACTCTCCCTAACGGGGGCTTAGACTGCACTAAAAACAGGTGTTTGAATCCATCACCACTCTGTTCAAAACAAGAAGAAAAGTTTTGCCTTCAGTTATACTTTAATTTAGAGCAGCCCGGGGGGGCCGGATGTGGCCCTTTGCCTGCTTTTATCTGGCCATTGAGGCAATATTTGATCTTCTGACACCAACAATGGGGCATTTTTTCCACCAGTGACAGCAACAAAGGGGCACAATTCCTCCAAATGACACCAATGATGGGACACAATTCCTCCAAGTCACACCAACGATGGGGCACAATTCCTCTCCCTGACACCAAAGGTGGGGTTTTGTTTACTCCCATTGATGACATTTTCTACTTACAGTGGCAACAGTTTGGCCCCCCTAAAATCTGAAGAATAGTAAACTGGCCCTTTGTTTAGAAAGTTTGGAGACCCCTGATTTAGAGCTATCAGTGAGTGAGCTTTAGAGTTTCTGACTATTGAGAGTAAATTTGGTCTCTATAATAAGTATGGGATTTTCACATGGAGGTTAGACCATCCAATTTTGATATGTAGGATCTAGATACAAGATGAGCAAGCAGATCTTCATACTGGACAAGGATAAATGACAAATTAATTGGCATAGAACATGATCAATTCATGGGTCAATGCTGTGTGTGCAAAAATCTGACCCTCTTATCTGCATGTGGGAATAGAAATTGGGATTTTTCCAGGTCATCAGTCCTCCATTTTCCAATTCTGACAATCCCATATCCGCATGGTCTCATTTTCCTGTTCTTAGCTGACAGCAGTAAAAATTGTCATGGTCTTCTACAGCTGTAGCTCATTGCCTACAAGGTTAAATGTATTGTACAGTGTTGCCTTCTGCACAGCACTGCTGTAAAGAATGGTAATTTGAACTGGTGTAGACATCCTGTCTCTTAAAGCCTAACTCCAGCCAAAATCTGTGAGTAAGGAATGGTTTGAACTTCTGTCAGTTTTTCCTTTATTGCTGTTGGGGAGATGTCCTGTCACTTCTCTGTCTCTTGTCCAATTGACAAGGAGTCATGATCGAAAGTGACGGTCATTCTCTCCTATGAGGACACAGATAGCAACAGTTTTTGTTGCTATGTGTGCTTTCTTGTCCCAGCGATCCCCATTCCTTTCATTTCTTACCATGGTGTCACTAAGATACACTTTAAAGGGATTCCCCTTTGGAGTCACAGTGAGCAATAAGCCCCTATAGTGTTTCTTATCCTTCCCTGCTCTATTCAATGCTGGAACAAAAAAATCTGTCTGGAGTTGGGCTTAAAACAAGGCTGGCCATTTTCCTCTAATTAACAGGGTATTTATTTAAATTTCACTTAGAGAACTCCGCTCATTTGTTATAGTTTTTGTTTATGCACTCTTCACTGTAAACATAATATAATGTGTGAAAATCCCAGCTGTTTTGAAGTGCTGCAACCATTCTGTTTGGCACCAACAATCATTCTACAATCAAAGTTGCTTAGATTCTGATCTTTCTCCTTTCTTAAATTTAGTTGAACATCACTTAAAACTCTTAGCCATGTATTGATGCTTATGTATTGAGTCACAGATGCATAACTCACTATTTATTAATGGGCTTATTCAGATGGACACTGACACATGTAGTCTGATAATAAGCTTCCAGGTGCTGCATGCAGGCAGTCCATTCATGTCTATTAGTAGGCAGTGGCTCCACGGACACATTCGCTTGTCCCAATTTTATAGCCATGTGGTTGCAGGTGAACAGCCCCAAACACAGATGCTCTATATTCAGGCCCACTCACCTGCACCCGCACAGCTGTCAAATTGGTAAAAAGCGACTGTGTCTGTGTAGCCGCTACATCATCATGAATGGGCTGCCTGCACTGAGGACCTGTCATCTGAAGCCATGTAAACATAGCATTTATTCATGGACTACGGGTGTCGGCAACTGTCTGAATGTGATACAGGTTTACCTAATGAAGTGACCCATTAAATGCTCTCTACTATTGTTTTATTTCAGACATGCCCACATCTATTTACAACAAGGCCAGAACCGAATAGGCAGAGTCTATAAGAAGGCTTCTTATTTCCAATTCACCAATGGTTTGTATACAGAACAAATAAAGAAACCAGATTGGCTGGGATTGTTAGGTCCCATTATAAGAGCAGAAGTTGGGGATACCATAATTCTCCATCTTAAAAACTTTGCTTCTAGACCATACAGTGCACATCCACATGGAACAGAGTATACAAAGGAAAATGAAGGTAAACATTTCCAGAAATTTCCAAGTTATTATAACGTTGATAAATAACCTTTAGAATCCTTCTGAATCATAGATATTTTCTTTAAAAATCACTAATTGGTAGTCAAATCTTCTACTGGTGAAGGGTTAGAACCCTCTATCTGGTTTTTACTGTTTGTGTCAATATTAGGAAGATTTGCTTTCCCTCAACTTTCTTTGAAATTAACTGTTTCATTTTTTCTAACTTTCTGTTTCTTTAAAGTTTTTTAAAGAAATTACAAATGTAAATGGTTACAGCGAATATGGATGTACAATAAATGAACATTCCGGCAATAGAGTAGAATATCACTAGCTGATTAGCAAGAAGCACAATAAAGCAGAGGTCCACAATTTAGCACATTGGCAGGAATACATTCAAGTATTTTTAATCGAATAACATTTATGTAAAACTATTCACATGATTAGTAATAGTATAGCTCTAAGATTTTGTATAGAGAGAAAGCATATTCTCCAATGCTGGAGCCCAAGTAACTGAAGTCTGCTGTAACAGGAATAGTATAATTGCAACTGTTTTGTTTTTCTGATTTTATGAGAACCGTTCAAATTTTGCTAGTATAAAGCTATTTAAATGGTGGTAAGCTTAAGTATGTGGGCACAAGTGCAGCACCTATAAACACAAAAAGTCAAAGAAAAAAACTCACAAACATCTAGGAACAAAACTAAAAAAATGCATTTGTATGTGTCTCCTGCAAACACATTAACCTATAAAACCCATAAAATCTTATAATCTAAACAACTTTCCCTAGCATGATTTAACACTTCCTTCCAAGTTTTAATATTACACAATCATAACCTCAGAACCTGAAATAAAAAAAACAACATGACTACAAGAACAGCAAGGGGACTCTAGACCAGGGGTGGGCAAACTTTTTGACTTGAGGGCCGCAATGGGTTCATATATTGGACCCGGGGGCCGGACCAAGAGTAGATGAATTAGGTGTATGTTTCATCCATAGTAAGTATAGTAATATTCCCCCATAGTAAGCATAGTAATTAATCCCCCATATAGTAATTCATCCCCCATATAGTAATTCATCCCCCATAGTAATTCATCCCCCATATAGTAATTCATCCCCCATATAGTAATTCATCCCCCATAGTAATTCACCCTCCATATAGTAATTCATCCCCCATATAGTAATTCATCCCCCATAGTAATTCATCCCCCATATAGTAATTCATCCCCCATAGTAATTCATCCCCCATATAGTAATTAATCCCCCATAGTAATTCATCCCCCATATAGTAATTCATCCCCCATAGTAATTCATCCTCCATATAGTAATTAATCCCCCATAGTAATTCATCCCCCATATAGTAATTCATCCCCCATAGTAATTCATCCTCCATATAGTAATTAATCCCCCATAGTAATTCATCCCCCATATAGTAATTCATCCCCCATATAGTAATTAATCCCCCATATAGTAATTAATCCCCCATAGTAATTCATCCCCCATAGTAATTCATCCCCCATATAGTAATTAATTCCCCACAGTACTATTCCCCCCCAAGTAGTAAGCCAAGTCCCCCCTGTGTCAATTCACTTACCTTTGCTCCGCGCGTTCCTCTCGCCGTGTTCCCGCACCGTTCCGGTCTTCAGGGCGGACTGTGAGAGGAGCCTAGCTCCCCTCACGTTCGTCACGCTGCCCCGCCTACACACATCCTGACAGCCACATGGCCGGATTAAAAGGTCCGCCGGGCCGTATACGGCCCGCGGGCCGTAGTTTGCCCATTGCTGTTCTAGACCATGAAAGTACTAGCAAGAGGTACAGGCAAGGGTAGATTAAAGCAGATGTATTCTGGTTATTGGTCTTCTTAGCAGAAGGTTAAACTATTACATAAAATGCATTATAAGGTTTTTCTGCACATTACATTAAAATAAGCTAACATTTGCACTATTTTATACAAAAAAAATAATCTTAAATGTGAGGGTTTATCTGCAGGCCTTGATTATATTTACAGGTGCCCTATACCCAGACAACACCTCAGGGACAAACAAGAAGGATGATGCTGTTAAGCCTGGAGAATCCTATACTTACAAGTGGGATGTAGTGGAAGACCAAGGTCCATCTGCACAGGATGATGATTGTATCATCAGGCTATATCACTCACACATTGATGGTCCAAAGGATGTTTACTCTGGACTTGTGGGGCCCATGATTATCTGTAAGACAGGTGAGCAGCATTTTCATTGGTTCATATTTATGTATATAATGTGTTTGAAATGTTCTGTAATGCTTCACATGGCATATAGAACCATTCAAATCAGCCCTGCCATCAGAGGAGCTTGGAATCTAATGCCCTTGTTACATACACACACATACACACGTACACACGCACTTGGTGATGTATGGCTTGGATGCAGCTGCTCGGCCACGGAAACCCATTCCATGAAGCTCTCTACGCATTGTTGTTGTGCTAATCTGAAGGCCACATGAAGTTTGGAGGTCTTTAGCTATTGACTCTGCAGACAGTTGGCGAGTTCTGAGCACTGTGAGCTTCAGCATGTGCTGACCCCACTCTGTCATTTTACATGGCTACCACTTTGTGGCTGAGTTGCTGTTGTTCCCAGTTGCTTCCACTTTGTTATAATACCACTAACAGTTGACCGTGGAATATTTAGTAGCAAGGAAATTTCAGGGATGGACTTATTGCATATGTGGCACGGCACCATGCTTGAATTCACCGAGCTCCTGAGAGCGATCCATTTTTTCACAAATGTTTGTAGAAGCAGTCTGCATGCCTAGGAGCTTGATTTTATACACCTCTGGCCATGAAGGTGATTGGAATGCCTGAATCCAATGATTTGGAGGGGTGTCCCAATACGTTTGGCAACATAGTGTGTGTATATATATATATATATATATAGTGAGAGAGAGAGAATACCATGCAGTTTTTTGTCTCACCTCACTACTTTCATCTTGCTCCCTTGCTCACCTATCAGTGAGCTTCCTGTAAATCTGTATAACTACCTACCTGTCTGGCCCCCCAGAGAACTATAGAAAGTTAATATTAGGTCAAATAACAGGCAATCATGCCATCACCACTAAGGTACTATAGAGGAGAAACATTTGCTTGGCATAGGAACTGTTTGCACAAATAGTGCTGTTACAGAACAGTTTCTGTCCTATCTGGAACATTCCATTACAAAAGAAGACTTCCTGTCACTGTACATAGCCCTCAGTAAGCCTCACTTTATCTAAGCATATCATAGGGCTCTTTCACACTGATCAATTTTGATCAGATTTTCAGTTAAAAAAAGCCAAAAAAAAACCCATCCTTTAAATCCTATGGAACTCTTCTCACTGGTCAGTTGCGTTTCAGTTATGTTTTTAAAAGTCCCGCCTGCTGCATTGTTGGTGCATGCTTGGTGTGTGTTTAACCACTTGCCCTACAATGGATTTACCCCCCTTCCTGGCCAGGCCATTTTTTGCGATATGTCTCTGCGTTATTTTAACTGACAATTGCACAGTCATGCAACGCTGCACCCAAGTAAAATTTGTGTCACTTTTTCCCACAAATGGAGTTTTCTTTCGGTGGTATTTGATCGCCTCTGCAATTTTTATTTTTTGCGCTATAAACAAAAAAAGACCGACAATTTTGAAAAAAAAACAAGTTTTAACTTTTTGATATTAAGCATGTCCAGTAAAATAAGTAAGAAAAAAATCAAATATTGTCATAAATGTAGGGCAAAATGTATTCTGCTACATGTCTTTGCTAAAAACAAAATCCCAATACATGTAAATTAATTGGTTTAGGTGAAAGTTATAGCATCTATAAATGGCGGTATATATACTGGAATTTCTTTTTTTAATACTAGTAATGGCGACGATCAGCGACTTATAGCGGGACTGCGGGACTACAGCGGGCATTCTGACACTGGGTGGGAACTGACTAACTGTCACTGACATCCTCAGTGACACTAATACAGTGATGAGTGCTAATAAAAAGCACTGACACTGTACTAATGACACTGGGCAGGAAGGGGTTAACATCTGGGGTGATCAAAGGGTTAACTTTGTGTTGTGTGTGTGTTTTACTGTGTGCTGTAGTTTACTGTGTAAGCACCCTGCTTTGTATTGCTCTGCTATGCAGAGCAATATAAAGCAGCGTGCTGGAGCTGACAGGGGAGAGATCTGTATTGTTTACATACAGACCTCTCCCCCTGTAGTGTTCCTTGGCAATCGCTGGGTGCTGGTGAAGAATCACTGGCCGGGACCCAGTAATCAACAGCTGTTGCAGGCAACGGTGGCGTGGGTAGGGTGCATGCGCCCCCCTGCCCAGAAAAATATATATTATATATATATATATATATATATATATATATATATACATGTGATTTTGTGCAGCCCTGCCACCCTGTAGCAGTAGTTCTGCTATAGGGCGGTCGGGAAAGCGGTTAAACCTGCACCAAAAATGCACTTCCCCATTGAAATGTATTGAAAACATGTCACATGTCCATGTTTCACAGGTGCATGCTGATGTCATGCAACCAGAAAATGCACCAGATACACGGCAAAACGAGTAAAATAGGTAGGTGCATACAAGTGTGAATACAATATCTGGTGTTCCCTTTCTGCTAATACTTGAACAGTAGTTCATTTCTAGCTATATTAATTTTAAGATATAACTTTTTTGTGTTCATGTAATTTCTTTAAGGTGCCCTAGATGGGACAAAGACACCTGAAAAAAAAGACAAAAAAGAGGAATATATCATGATGTTTTCAGTGATTGATGAAAATGTAAGCTGGTATATAGATGAAAATATCAATGATTTCACCAACTCTACTGCCGTGGATAAAGAAGATGGGGACTTTCAAGAGAGCAATAAAATGCATTGTAAGATTTCTCTTTGAAAACATATTTAGTATTCACAGTAACACAGTTCCCATCTAATGTCAGCTTGCTCCCACCCATGCTTCTGGTTTAGACTGCAGCCTCCTGTCCTATGATTCTATATTGCACAACATCCTCCAATCCTTTTTTTGCTTTGCAAGCACCACATTCAGTTGGGAAGGTAAAACTGTGTAAAGGCAGGCCAGATTGCTAGATAATATTATTATTATACAGGATTTATATAGCGCCAACAGTTGGCTCAGCACTTTACAATATAAAGGGAGACAATACAGCAATGATACAGTTCAATACAAGAGGGTTAGGAGGGCCCTGCTCCTTGGAGCTTACAATCTAACATAAACAGACTTCTAAAAAAAGAAATAGAAAAACAACATAGAAAAAAAAACTTAAACAAAATAATCCAGATTAGCCTGAATACAACCCCCCCCCCTCACAAAAAGCAAACCTGTAAGTAGGGCTTCATTCCTACGGGCACTTACACTTGTAGTCCATGTACAGGCCATGTCTTTAAGCAGCTGGAGCCGCCAGTTTCTGTATGCGGGCAGCACCTTGTGTCTCTATGGGAATGTAGCAGCTGCACAGACACAACTGCTCATCCCAATATGACAGCCATGCAGGTACGGGTGAGCAGCCCTGAACACAGACAGTGTGGGTTCAGGGGCACTCACATACAGGGCTGTCAAATTTGGATTGGCTGTGTCCTGTACTACCATAGATGTGAACTGGCTGCCTGCACTCAGCACCTGGCAGTATCAGACACTTAAAGACTTGGCTCATTTACAGACTTTGGATGTAAATGTAAATGTGAATGAGGCCTAAAGCATAAAAAAACAAGGAACTGGCAGCCAGTCTGAGTCTCTTATATGTATCACAAGGCTTCATTTTCAATTGACCATAGTTTCCAAACATTTTCCAAAGCAGGTTAGAAATGAAAGTGCAGATGCATGCAAAGGTGATTTTTTTTTTACGCATTTAACAAAGCTTTAACCAGAGGAAAACACATGATTTGATCAAGTCAGTATGCCTTGGTTCTGTAGTCTTTTTCTGTTTTAACAAATGTATGTACTGTATCTGTAACAGAAGCTCCTTGCTCTTTTTTCTCCTTTTGTATGCTGCTTCTTAAGGCAAAACTACACTATATCTGAGCACCATAAACCAAGAACCCTGTTTAATTCATTTTTAATATTCAAAGCAAACTCACCCATCCATGTCTTTATGCTTTATTTTGCTGAAAAATCACATTGAAAAACATCCCCTAGCATTTTTGATTGTGGCCATCTTGAGTAAGGGCAGATGATTCATGTAGCATTTACTTCCTGGAATCCATCTGCCCTTAACTCAAGCATGCAGGTAGGAGGGTGTGCTTAGCTGATAACCCCCCTCCTACCCTCCTGAAGACTCCTGGGATGTATTTACTAATGCTAGCATGATAGTCAATGTTGATTGAAAGAGTGAAGTTCCACTTTATTCCTCTAAATGAAATGAAGTCCACTCATTAAGCCAATCTCTGTGTTACAGCTATCAATGGATACATGTATGGAAACCTCCCAGGACTTTCTGTATGTGATGACACAAATGTGAGATGGTATTTGTTTGGTATGGGAAATGAGGTGGATGTACACTCAGCCTACTTCCATGGCCAAGTGTTAACATATCAGAAATACCGTGTGGATACCCTCAGCCTCTTTCCCGCCTCCATGGTTCAGGCTTCTATGCTTACTAAAAACCCTGGCAAGTGGCTTCTCAGTTGTCAAGTTAATGACCATTTAGAAGGTATGTTATGTTTAGATGCTTAAGAGAGAGCTTGTAATTTTTTTATTCATGACTTTGGAAATAATTGGGAAACATGCGTAGCATGCCCTCATTGTATAATGCTGCATGGTGCTCCTCTACAGGTGGTATGCAGGCACTCTATGAAGTAAGAAACTGCACAGCAAAGAGGTCCTGTGGGTTTATTACAAAGATTCGTCATTATTACATAGCTGCAGAAGAGATATTCTGGAACTATGGACCAACTTCAATTAATCAGTTCACTGGACAAAAGCTAAATGATCCTGACAGGTAGGGTAATCATATATCATTCAAAATTGGAATAAGTAGACAAGGTAGACCTATGACACACTAAACCTTTATCTTTGATACAACAAACACTGTCATGTTGACCTTTGGTTAGAGCTTTTTAAATGTATTTATGAACGGTCACTACATGGGCAAATTTAAACATTCCACAGTATCCCAACTATCTGTTGGAAAGTAAACAGGTCATTATTGGCATAGAGAATGTTACTAGAACTCGAGTGAATTCCAAGCATTCTCATATTTAGTTTTACAGAAAGATGGTGGAATAGATACTCATCTTTACAGGATTTATTATCAGACTACAGTTTTCACAAAAGCATGATAAGAAATAAGTATATATCACTCAAAGTAATCAAATGTTATGCTCTGCTTCTCTTTTACAAAATATAAATTGAAGAACCACATGACTGCTAAAAGGTCCAGATATGACTTTATTTCAATAAAAGTCAGGAGAACAATCCATAGTGTAGCCTACATGTTTTGGCTGACTTGAGATTGAAAACAATGTGAATGGATTAGAAGTGAACTCGACTACACATCTGAAACACGTTGGGTACTCTTTGGATTGTCATAACAATTTTTATTGGAATAAAGTTGTATTTGGACCACATAGCAGTGGTGTGGCACTTCAATTTACATTTTTGCTGCATTACACTAGCCAAGGAGACCATGGGGACCCTCTGGGGTGTAAAAGCCACCTGCCGGGAACCAAATTACTTAGAGTACATCAACATCAATACCTTAAGATAACAATACCAATAAGAAAATCTTGCAAGTCCAGGTCCATGACTATTTTTCCACTTTCCTTAACTGCCTCATCAGTGGAGCTTGAGACCACACAGAGTCTGTACAGAAATAATGGCATTCGTACACCAATATTTGATTTAAAGCACAACTCCAGTTACAAAAAACTTTTTAATACATGAGCAGGGAATAGTTAGAGCCTCTACCAGGATTCTATTGTGGTCTGTGTCCCTATTGGGGTTGTTTTTACATTAGTTACTGTTAGGACAAGAAACTGAATGGGAAACAACTGCAACACAGGGATGACTTAGGACCCGTTAACACTGGTGTATTTTTGCCAGGCTAAAACATCTTTCCAGCATGACAAACAAGCATGAAAATTATTCCCTTTTAAAGACTTAGTAACTGTTCACATTGCTGCACTGTTCAAAGCATACCAAGAATACAGCTTCCATTGAATGTCAATGTGAATGCATCAAAAGTGCACTGCATCTGTGTTTTTGGCGCATTTGGGTCAATGTTCATGTTTCACAGATGCATGCTGGGAGTCAAGAAACCAGTAAACGCACAAAAAAATTTATTAAAAAGTGTGTTAAAATTTTGTTATGTGTTTTTTAAAACAGCATACTGAGATTTTAAGGGCACCAGTAAGAAAGGATCCTAAAACAAATTGATTGTTGGCCTTCTTGCCTACTTGTCCTAGTGATGACCAAACTCTCCAGTTCTTGTTTAGGTGACGCAGACATAAAAAGAGAGGGAAGATTTTCCAAATGGAGGTCACAAACAGAAATAGAAAAAATGTTGGAAAAGTTAGATTTTACATGTTTCCATCTTTGGCAACTATCAATTTAAACTACTCAGAATTCATCTTGCCCCTTTCTGATCTCAGCATATTGAATCATAATGAATTCTGTTTGATTGCTAAGCTTTACTGCACTGAAAACTTTTTTGGGGGGGTATTAGATAGAAGTTATTTGTGTGTTTAGGAAATACCTTTTGAATTTCTGACAGCATGGTAACCTAGACTGGAAGTGAAGGCCTCGTTCACACAGGTGTACTGATCTGTACTCCTATGCAAAGAGCCATTTTCACCAGCAGCATGCACAGATGTTCCATGTAGGCAGCCTGTTCAAATCAAAGATAGGCAGACAGCTGAACAGATCTGCAGGCTCTCCAAACACATACCTGACTGTACATCTATGCTAGACTTATGCACAGATTAGAAAACAGACACACTGGGTGGGGGATTCAATAATGCTGCTGCGCCACTCTTCTGGCTTTAATCCCTATTGTTAATGTATTGTGCCAAATTCATGAAGCATGTGTGACATTTTTGGTTCTGACAGCAACTTGTGCATCAAATTCAGGTAGTTCTAAAATGCCCCACTTTTACATTAAATGTGCCAAATGTGAAAGTGTGGGTAATTAAGACCAAGATGAATCAGTGGTGCTCCAGATGAACAGAGACAAGGAGGAAGAGAAAAAAAAAGTGGGAATGAAAACCATTAGAGAGATCCTTTTAAGGGTAGTATTCAGTTGAACATATAGGAAAAGAAAGTCTAAAAGTGTAGTAAGCATATACTCACATTCATAAGGTTGCTGAATACCTATCCTAGGGTCACGCAATCTATTTTAGCACATGTGAAGAATATGGTTGTCTCCACGCAGAGTGTGGGTTATTGCACTTGATGCTTATGGGGGTTATTCTTGCACCATACTAGGCTGCGGTCAGATCTGGTGAACAATGGCAGATAGAATAGGGCCCCAAAATGGACCAGTGTGTGGTCAGCAGAGACACCCATTCAATAAAAATGGGCTTCCAAGTGGATTCTTCTGGAAGGTTGGTATATATTGATCATGAAAACAAGTTAAAACACCATCACTGTGTTTCATGGCTCTTTAGTGGCCACTTCATTATTATTTATTATACAGTATTTATAAAGCGCCAATGGTTCGCTCAGCGCTGTACATTACAAGGGGGGGACAGAACATGTGACAGAACAATACCAATACAATGCAAAACATGAGGGGATCGAGGGCCCTGCTCCTTTGAGCTTACAATCTAGGAGGGAGGGGATAGTGGTACAGGAGGAGATAGCTGTGGGGGATGGAGTGGTAGGAAGAGTGGAGGAGGTCGGCAGGTTAGGAGGGGGTGGTGTAGGCTTCCCTGAAGAGATGGGTTTTCAGGGTGCGCCTAAAGGAGAGGAGAGTAGGTGATAATCTGATGGGTTGGGGCAGGGAGTTCCAGAGGATGGGTGACACCCTGGAGAAGTCCTGGAGACGGGCATGGGAGAAGGAGACCAGGGAACTAGAGAGAAGGGGGTCTTGTGAGGAGCGGAGTGTGCATGCTGGGCGGTACTTGGATATTAGGTCAGTGATGTATTACGGGGCAGTATGGTGGACAGTTTTGTACGTCAGTGTTAGGATTTTAAATTTGATCCGTTGTGTAATCGGAAGCCAGTGGAGGGATTGGCAGAAGGGGGTTGCGGAGATGGAGCGGTTGGAAAGGTGAATGAGTCTGGCAGCCGTATTCAGGATCGACTGAAGCGGGGATAGCCAGCGTCGAGGCAGGCCAGTGAGGAGGGAGTTGCAGTAGTCGAGTCGTGATATGATGAGGGAGTGGATGAGCTGTTTAGTGGTTTCTGGGGTTAGGAACGTGCGTATTTTGGCGATGTTGCGGAGGTGGAGTCTGCACGAGTTTGTTAAAGATTGGACTTGGGGATGGAAGGATAGGTTGGAGTCCAGAATGACACCAAGTACTCTGGCCTGCGGGGCAAGTTTGATGGTGGCATTGTTGGATGTGACGGAGAAGTCAATGGGGGGGTGTCCGGGCTGGGGGGAAGACAAGAAACTCGGTTTTGGAGAGGTTCAGTTTAAGGAAGTGGAGCGACATCCAGTCTGATATGTCGCTCAGTAGGTGTGTGATTCGGGCGGAGACCATAAGGAAAAGGTGTATAGTACACTTTAGTGAGTTGGATCTGTGTGATGAAGTGGCCACTAAAAAGCCACGGAATGCACTGATGGTGTTTTAACTTGTTTTCATGATCAATAAATACCAACCTTCCTGAAGAATCAACTTGGAAGCACCTTTTTATTGAATGGGCACCTCTGCTGACCACACACTGGTTCCATTTTGGGGACTTATTCTATCTACCATAATTAAGACCAACTCTTTTAGCATACAGAGAGAAAAACTGGCTCGGACAGATTCAGCAAAAGTGTCTCTCGAGCATTCTAAAAGTGGTGCAGCATGAGCTAAATTCAACTACAAGTTCTAGACAGGTACCTGAATTTGGAGCATTCTTCATCACTTTTAGAATGCAGAGACAGCTCCAGCCTTTATGACTTCCAGGGATCATGTTTTAAATGAATCAGTATGCTTATTCAGTCGTTCAATATAAGATTTCTAATAATCTTTTATGTTATACGACTTTATCTTTCTGCATATTTTACAGTGAATCAGCAACATTTTTTGAGCAACATGACATGCGAATTGGAGGAACATATAAGAAAGCCATTTATAGAGAATATACAGATGCAACTTTTACAACACGGATACCAAGATCCAAAGAGGAAGATCATCTTGGAATGCTGGGTAGTTATTTTGAGAGGCCTTCATTTACTTAAGAGGGGGTTCTTTCTTTCTGGAAAAGTAAAAAAAGCAGAGTCAGCTTAATAATACCAAAATAGAGTTATTTTCCAGAACCACAACACCCAAACAAAATTATTACCTGAAAAAAAAAAAAAAAAACTACAAAAAATTGTAAAGCGTGATGCCCGTCTGTAGCGGCTCTCTTCTCCCTGTTCTCATAGGCTTTGCTGTCAGTAAAATCCTGTAATGAGGGAGTAAGGGGCAGGGCTGAGCCTTGTTGTCTGTGTCTATAGACAGGGAGCAAGCCTCCAAGTGGTCCACAGTAGGAAGCAGCTTCCTATTGTGGCACACTGAGAAGAGGAGGAGCCAGGAGTGCCAGGAGGGGGACTCAAGAAAAGGGGTTTCAGGGCTGCTATGGGCAATACCATTGCACAGAGCAAGTAAGTATAACATGTTTGTTATCTTAAAATAAAAAAAAATGATTTTACAAATGCTTTCAAGCTTGGTAAACTGTAATATTTTGCTAATCTGGGAAAGGGGAGTATTAGATGTACTAGCAGATTTAAGTACACTAACAAACTGAATCTGAACTCCAGCTAACACTTTATAAACATTTACAGCAAATAGTTTTTTCTCTCCTTTTTGGGATAAAGGTATTGCATAAATAAATAAAAACTGATCATTATAGGTACCTCTTTCAGTAGTTAATAGTTTGTCTCAACCCTCTAACTGCTATATCTGCAGAACAGCTTGTTCTGTTGAAAAACAACAGACTTACTGGTCAGATGACCAGGTGAAAATAAAGAAAAGAGAGCCTAAAAAAGAAAGGTGATGCAGCCATTGCATCTAAGAATCAGTAAGCTGAAATATAATGAATGTTTGCTTTTGGGTTTAATACTGCTTAACCCAGCACGCAGGTTAAAAAGACTTTCAAGCACTGCACCACTGCAAAAAGTCCTGTGTGAAAAACCCAGTGCATGCAGACCCCTTCCATGTGTGTATTAGGTTACTGTTACAGTGCCTAGCATTTCATCACACATGGCATCATCAGGAGCAGACATTATATATATATATATATATATATATATATACATATACTGTGTACATACTGTATACATATATATGAAGTGTGCTAAAAATGACATTTTTTGTTACTCATAGTAACCAACAAAGTTACATGGTTTCTTTTTGAACGTGTACTGTAACAAATTACATTTGGAAGAGGACCCTAAAAAATAACTCCATTTTTGTTGAAAAAAAAAAAACCTCTGAGTGATCTATGTACATTGCAGGGATTTTAACAAACTTTGTTGCAGACTCCTACCTTATGCTGTAAAATCGCTGTTTGTTTGTCTGTGTTCATATGCTGAGTGAATCTGTATGGGAGTGGATTCATAATTATCATTCAGCTGCTGTACTTGCAGGGCTCTAATGAGGAAAGTGTCAGGGTCTGTATCACTTTAGACAAGATTTCTCTTTGAGAGTATTTCACCAAAAATGCCATTTTTGTTTCCGCGAATGCCAAAAATCTTACTGTATCTTAGTGCAGACTTCTGTGAAAATCAGTAAGCCAATCACTCAAGCAGGAAATTACATTTTTAGGGAGCTTTCTATACACCTGTGTACAGATTGCCTCCAGGTAATCATATTGCATTGTATTTTACAGAAAACTAAAATGCTGTAGATTGAAAAGGAAAGGTATTTTTTAATAACATTCAATTACAATATCACTTAAGTCGCAATTGTATACTCTATATTATTTTTATTTGCTATTTTTTTCCCCATGAAAGTGGAGTTGCCCTTTAAATTAAAAATGTTAGAGACTGTAAGTATGTACTACACTATGAATGAAAGTTTGGTTATCATATTAATCAGTGTTTGGCAATTATTTTAATCAGTGATCTATCCAGATAAAAATCTCCAATGCCTGGAGCTAATTATTGCACATTGTCTTCTCTATGCTTATGACTTTTTTATGCTTACCTAATTTTGCATCCATAATAATCTATGAAATCTTATGAAAAATTATATAATCCTGGGCTCTAAAAAATAAAAATAACGGTTGTAGAATTGCAAGCTTTTGGGTACATTCAACCTAGTGTGTGAAGAAATTTAATTTGTATTGTATAATACAGTACATTCATTTCTGTTTAGTTTTCTTTTTACTCTTAAATATTTTTCCATGGCTGCTACTAAAACATTTGAAACCATTTATGTTTAGTTGTTCTTTAAAATACCTAAAATCAAATTTTAAAAATGGTTCTATATAGCATTGCTCTATGTACACAGGCTAATAGTACTCTCTCCCTTATTAGGGCCTATCATTATTGCACAGGTAGGAGATGCTATCAAAGTTACATTTAAGAACAAGGCAAGTCATCCATACAGCATCCAGGCCCATGGAGTGAGCTGCACAAAGGACATGGAAGGTGCTGCCTACAAAACTAGCAAAGATTCTGAAGGTGATTGCAGAATTATAAATATGATAATGTCACTGCTCATATTCTCTGTACATCAATATACACTATATTGCCAAAAGTATTGGGACGCCTGCCTTTACACACACATGAACTTTAATGGCATCTCAGTCTTAGTCCGTAAGGTTCAATATTGAGTTGGCCCACCCTTTGCAGCTATAACAACTTCAACTCTTCTGGGAAGGCTGTCCACAAGGTTTAGGAGTGTGTCTATGAGAATGTTTGACCATTCTTCCAGAAGCGCATTTGTGAGGTCAGGCACTGATGTCAGACGAGAAGGCCTGGCTCGCAGTCTCCGCTCTAATTCATCCCAAAGGTGTTCTGGCAACTGCCAAAACCAGACACGTACATCAGATTGCCAGACAAAGAAGCATGAATTGTCACTCCATAGAACACATCTCTACTGCTCTAGTGCTTTACACTACTGCATCCGATGCTTTCCAGTGCACTTGGTGATGTAAGGCTTGGATGCTGCTGCTCGGCCATGGAAACCCATTCCGTGAAGCTCTCTACACACTGTTGTTGTGCTAATCTGAAGGCCTCATGAAGTTTGGAGGTCTTTAGCTATTGATTCTGCAGACAGTTGGCAACTTCTGCACTCTGTGCCCTTTAGCATGTGCTGACCCCGCTCTGTAATTTTACATGGCCTACCACTTTGTGGCTGAGTTGCTGTTGTTCCCAGTTGCTTCCACTTTGTTATAATACCACAACAGTTGACCGTGGAATATTTAGTAGCAAGGAAATTTCACAGATGAACTTACTGCACAGGTGGAAACCTATCACGGTACCACACTTGAATTCACTGAGCAACCCATTCTATCACTAATGTTTGTAGAAGCAGTCTGCATGCCTATGTGTTTGATTTTATACAGCTGTGGTCATGGAGGTGATTGGAACGTCTGAATTCAATGATTTGGAGGGGTGTCTCAATACTTTTGGCAATATAATGTACATATGGCTGAGTGAAATAGACATGCGATTGTTCTATATTGAAGGTTTGATTAGGTCATATTCTTATTAAATATTAGATGTTAAAGTGGATGGTGGGACAAGTCAACATTTTATTTCTATCCCATGATTAAGCTATTATTACATGTGGAATATTTCATTTTAAGGCCTCACATAGTGCTGTGTGCCTCTACATGGTTTATCTGTTAGAGGTAACACACGGAAGACAGATTGCAGAGAAACAAAACAGTACAATACACAAAATTCAACCCTATCCTAACATAAAAAACAGAGACTCACCAAACAAATGCAACATCACTTTTAATATACTGTAACTCAACTCTGCCAGATTCAAATACAAAAACTTGCTGCTATGGTTAAGAGTACCGTTTTCACCTAAAAGTCACACAACTTTCACCCAAGATTTACACTTGTTCACTGAAGATCCAATTTAAAAAACGTGTGAAAGCTCTGGCATTAGTTATATGAATTTTGGGGGAAAAAACAAATACGTAAACCTTTTGGTATACAGCCATCTATTTCTGACAATCTTTGTACTTGCATATTGGTTCATGAGAGTTGTAAACTGTTCAGAAGCCTGATGTACAAGACTGAGTGTGATCATTTCATGCTCTGTTTAGCACCTGTATTTTCTATATTGACTGGCAGCAAAGCTATGTTCCAGTGTGATATGGACTCGTTCAGAGCCTTACCACTTTACAATGACCATGCACAAAACTGGTATGCTACAGTAAGTTGAAAAAAGTTAGATCATATGGACTTAATTGGGATTTAACTGGTATCAGAAGAAGGACATAACACCTTTTATGTATCAATATCAGAAATGCTGGTGGTGAAATATGAAATAATCTGTAGCATTTTGTTAAAGGATAAGTTCACCTTTTACAAAAAAAAAAAAAAAATTAATAAATACACATCTTTTGCAGGTAAAAAAAATGTGAGTTTATTTTTTTTTACACTGCAGTCTGTAAATCATTGCACCCGTGATCATCAGATCGCAGGTGCAATCCCTGGGTTCTGCAGGCACTCAGTAAGCTATCTGCCCATACCTTGTACAGGCAGGCAGTTACTGAATGCAGGAAAAATTAATGTACTATAAGAGCGCTCACCAGCACCCTCGCCGTTCATTACAAACTACATGCCGTTGGCCACGGAGGCCAACTGTACATGTAGTTCATTCATTAACAAAACCCTGTGAATAAATAATGTGGCTGTGTGGGCGGAGTACCACATGGCTATGCTGTTTTTAAATTGTGACAGCGGGTGCAGAAAGAGGCTCCCCCACCTGCTGTCACAGGGAGGGGGGTCGGGGATGCAGGAGCTGGAACATGTTCCATGTTCCACCCTAAATACGGGAGGAATATCTAACATGTATCCAAAGGTGAACGTAGCCTTTAAAGCCCTCCTGCCCTCCCACCCCTTTATTCCACCCCTATCAAACTGATCCCTTTAGTAAAAAAAAGTTAGTTACAGTAAATGCCCATTTTAAATTACTTGAAGCCATGATCATGTGACACTACCAGGCAGATCTTTTGTTGGCAAGGTTCTCTCAGGAGAGAAAATAGAACACCATAATTGCAGGGGGACAGCAGGGTGCCACTGCAGCACTGCATCAGAACTGATGGCAGTAAGGGATTTAGGTGATTATATCTGCCTTCACCAGGTAAGAGGCAGGACTATCCAAAAGGGTTGGGTGGGGTAAGTATAAGAAATATTTTTTGCCTGGAGCAGGGTTTTAAGTCAAACTTCATTAAAATCCATTGTACTGAATATATTTATCTACGGAACATGATTTGAAAATGATTGTACATCTGTTATTTAAAGCCAGAATTCAGAGACAGACCGCTTTAAGCTGGTCACACCAAGCTTCTATGTAGTTCTGAAGTGGTTTTATGGCAGACTTTCCCATTGCTAGGCAAGTAACAGGTAAGATTGGAAATAAGTATGGCACTGGAAGAGGAAGCACAAGTAAAGGTCACTGAGGTTTAGACATTTTGAGCTATGAGGTTTGTGAGCTCCATCCCATTAGTTACATTGTAGGGATTTCACATTGCACTTGGTGCAGCAAGTGTTTTTTTTGTCTATCAGCGTGCATCCATAATGGTCCAACTAAACTATCTGTGTTACTTATATATGAGCTTTTTTTTTTCCTTCAGAAAATGGTGCATCTGGGGAACAAAGTGGGCACTCTCTTCCTTCTCATGTGGCTCCAGGAGATACAATAACATACAGATGGGAAGTTCCCAACAGTGTGGGATCCACAATGCATGACCTAAACTGCTTACCATGGCTTTATTATTCATCCGTGGATGTAGTCAAAGACACCAATTCTGGTCTCGTTGGTCCGTTGTTAGTGTGTAAGAGTTTAATAAAAGATCAACAGGTATATTTTGTGTTTTACATGAACTAGTAAAACAACAAGGATATTAGTTTGTAATATGACCATAACTTGATAAACCTAGGATGAAAGGGATGACATGACAACAGGAACTCCATAATGATGGATAAAAGATCAATTTTATGTGTTGTTGGTGTAACAAAAGGAAAACATCGGGATCAGATTTACCATAGACACAGTGGGCTTGTGGCTATAGGCAGCAGAGAGACAGTCAACTTTTCCATGAATAGTTATAGGACAGACATATTTTCTCATTATAAGTCAATATATATCTCACATACACATTGTCACAATATTGTAAGTCATAAAACAACTCAGGTGACCCAGGCAGAGGAGTGTTGCATTTTATGGCAAACCTTGTATGCCTACAGGATCCAGGGATGGAATGTACACCCTGTAGAAGATGCAGCATGGAGGCCAGATAAACAATGCTTTAAAGCGGAACTCCAGTCTTACTTTTAGTTCACAGTTGTACAGGCTATGACGTGAAAAGTAAGGCTGGAGCTTACCATGTGAGCATTAGAAGCTGCACCAAGTCAGACAGAACAGAAGAGACACAGCGCCTCTAAGTGTAGACTGTATGACAACTTTAATGATTAAAAAGGTAAGTTTAACAACTCCCAAATCTTAGTAATGTAAAACAGGCTCATAAGGGTAAGTATGCAGAGTTCCTATCGCCAAATGTTGAAGACCGCACTGGGAGTAATATCGGACGATCACCAGAAAGCACTGGAGGGAGGAGAGCTGTTGATGATAAATCCTGGCAGGTTCCCTAGTATGTCTGGAGCGGTGGCGTTGGCATCTAACATCATCAGGATGCACTTGTAAGGAGGAGCCTTATATGGAATGAAGAGGAGTGACAGACAGGACCAGGGGCAGGGAAAAAAGGAGGGGGGAATAGGGAGAACAATATACAGAGAGACAACAGAGCAATGTCTGTCTGAATGTCACAAATAGTAACATGGGAATATAGTCACAAAGGTCATGTATAAAAATAACAAAAATCATGAAAAACATAAAAGAACAATGCATTGAAACAGTTAACAATAAATGATTGGTATAAGACATCAATGAAAAATTATTAAAAGGAGTTAAAAGGAAATACATGTATAAAATTAAACATAGTACTACATGGTATAGTGAACAAAGGAATAAATAATAGGCATAAATCAATATGTTAATGGGCATAAATCAAAAGGTTAATAATAGATGAACAATAATGAGTGAATTGTTGGACATATGAATGAACAATAGATGGACAATAAATAATAAATTCAAAAGGTGGAATAAAGAACAATTAGGCTGGTGGAAAAAAGGATAGCTATATGATTATTTGGCTGGTTTTAATATTGGCATGGATAGATGGTGGAGATAGAATATAGTGACGTGTACACACATGCATCGAAGGGTCGATACAGGATATTAATAATAAGCATTAGTGTATATGTGTGTACACATCAGCATCAGATTGGAGAATTAAATAGTAAGTGATTTAATGACTAGAATAGATTAGTCCAGTATTATATCTCTTTCTGGCAGTACTTTCTAAAATCATGACCATCCATGAGTAGTAGGATGTGGACCACCCCCAACACAAAAGGGAAAAAAAACACCTGTAAACAAAGGATAATGTATTAATATAAGTGGGAAATCATCATGATGTGTATGGTTCCAAAGATAGTAATGATGTGTAGTCAGAGTTGTTAATACTCGTTATATTGTGGTAGCTGTCTCCAGCTCCTCGTTGAGGCCAGCTGGAGACAGGTTACCGAGGGCATGGATCCAAAAAGTTTCCATCTATTGTTCATTCACATTTCCATCAATCCACTCATTATTGTTCATATATTATTAACTGATTGATTTATGCCCATTAACTTATTGATTTATGCCCATTATTTATTCCTTTGTTCACTATACCATTTAGTACTATGTTTAATTGTATACATATATTCCCTTTTAACTCCTTTAAATTATTTTTCATTGATATCATTATTTATTTTTTTTACTGTTTCAATGCATTGTTCTTTTATGTTTTTCATTATTTTTGTTATTTTTTATACATGACCTTTGTGACTACATTCCCATGTTGCTATTTGTGACATTCAGACAGACAGTGCTCTGTTGTCTCTCTGTATATTGTTCTCCCTATTCCCCCTCCTTTCTTCCTGCCCCTGGCCCTGTCCGTCACTCCTCTTCATTCCATATATGGCTGCTTCTTACAAGTGCTCTACCTATGCCTGGTGAAAGAGCGCGCCGGTCCACTTCGGTCTCCGCGCATGCTCAGAAACGCATTGCATCCTGACGACGTAAGACGCCAACACCACCACTCCGGACATACTAGGGAACCTGCTAGGCTTTACCACCAATGCCTCTCCTCATTCCAGCGCTTCCTGCTGATCGGCCAGTATTACTCCCAGTGCGATCTTCAACATCTGGCAATAGGCGCTCTGCATACTTACCCTTATGAGCCTGTTTTACATTACTAAGTTGTGAGTTGTTAAACTTACCTTTTTAATCATTAAAGCTGTCATACAGTCTACACTTAGAGGCGCTGTGTCTTTTCTTCTGTTCCTTCTACTCTAGAGCTCTGCTTCACTCTACCACAGCCTGCCCTAGTGTCTTAGACTGAATTACCCTCTGCCTGACTTGGAACACATATCCATTAATTAAAAGACTATATGGTCTGCATAATTCATGCGCCTGTTTACTCCTTTTATACCAAGTTAGACAGAGCCCACCTCTTTTTCTAGCTAAAGGATGTCCAGTATCATCCCTACTTTTCCTCCCCAACCTCACTGTTCCTAGTCGACCCACCTTCATTCATTGTATTTCAGTTCTTTCAAACATAGAGCTCAGCATCACATGTGAACATTATCTAAGACAATCTGCATGCAAATGCTATCTGCATAGGAACACCCACTCCTCCAGACTGACACTCACTCATTAAGGCAACTTAAATTTGCATAACTCCTCCCAAGAGCCAGCCCACTACTTCCACCAGAGTTGAGGTCTCTAGAGAGAAATACTGAGGAAGAGCACTGTAATGTTTTCAAGAACATGTAAAGTCTTTCCCAATGGCCATGATCTCATGATCTGCCTACATTGCAAAGAGAAGCACACAAACCCAGTGATGATATCATTGAGTCTTAAATAATTTATGTAATGAAAATAGAAAGATTTTTTTTTTAATTTTTGAAAATGTCATTATCCTGTTAATAAAGAGTGGAAAGAAGCAAGGGAAGGCCAAATCAAACTTCAGCTTTAATGTTATAAAAACATTTTTTGCAATATAAGATGCACTTGCTGCATGTCCTAAGGGTTGGAATATATCTTTATGTTGGGCTAGCCATAAATGGGCTGGTCATTTACTGACAAAACCAGCTGGCGGTAGATTTGGAGCTGGAGCTGTACACTAATATCTATGGTGAACACCAGCTGGCACCACAACATCTTTCTGTGGGACTTGTTGGTAAAGGGATGTGGCCATTTAAGTGTCTGGTCAATGTTAAACAATGCAATTAGAGGGAGCAAGAATGCCTCCTGTCCTCTGTTAGAACTGCCTTTCTCAACCTTTTCAACGTAGAGGAACCCTTGACATAACTTTCCGGTCTTGGGGAACATCTGTTAAAATTGACTTTATCTACAATTCATGATACATTAGTGTGATGGTCAGAGGTAAGAATGCTCCTTACACTTGTGGTCATTGGGAAGAATTACCCTTTTAGATAGCTAAAAAGATCAATGGTGTCAGTGGGAACTTACCTGATAGGCAAAAATTGCTCATTGCTCAAGGAACCCCTGGCAACCTCTGGAGGAACCCTAGGGTTCCACGGAAACCTGGTTGAGAAACTCTGTGTTAGAAGGTGCACAAAAAAATAGAACTATTGCATGAAAATTGCTGTCTTGTCGATACCCCTAGAATAACCCGTTGTGCACAAATCAAGACTTGAAGTTGTGATTGTTTACTAAAGAAGCAAGTAAAGATAGTCTAAATGTTTTAACTGGTTTGCAAGTGTTGGTAATCAGTGTTACCTTATGATCACAAGTGAAATCCTGCTTTTTTTGCAGAGAGGTGTAGCTCACAATTACTTCATGATGCCTGCCGTGTTTGATGAGAATAAGAGCTGGTATTTGAAGGACAACATTGACCTATTTACTGGGAAACCACAGTCTGTGGACACGGATAATGAAGATTTTCAGGAGTCCAATATGATGCACTGTAAGTGTTGAATACTGACCTATACGTAGTTCCATGTCCTTCCCACAATGTGGAAAACCTAACCCCCAGGCCAATTTAGACATTTCTCCCTCATACATGTAAAAATCTGCATTATTTTGCTAGAGAATTACTTAGAACCCCCCCCCCCCTCCCCCCAAAAAAATAATTAAATATAAAATATATATATTTTTTTTTTTTTAAAGCAGAGGCCCTAGACAATACAATGGTGGGTGATGCAATTTAGTATGTTACACAATATTTTTGCAGCGGTTCTCCACAACTTAAAATTGTGCATGCCCGTAGAATGAAGACAAACTATGGTTCATTAAATTATCCCTAGTGATGATGTTTTTAAATCTTTTACAGGTTACCAGATGAGAGTTACAAAGGAGGTCTGCTACTACAACTATTGTTCTTGCTCTGACATTCATGGCGATACCTCACATATGTGGTGTGATCCCCGTGCACGTTCACATTTGCATGGGGGGACGGGGGCATTATATGCTGTACAAGCCAGAAACAGTGGGGTTTATTTACTAAAGCTGGAGAGTCCAAAATCAGACTCCCTTCTGCATAGAAACCAATCAGCTTCTAACCTCAGCTTGTTCAATGAAGCTTTGGCAATGAAACCTGGAAGCTGATTGGTTTCTATGCAGAAGTGAGTCTGATTTTGGACTCTCCAGCTGTAGTAAATAAACCCCAGTGTGTCAACAAACAAACTGAAACTGGAAGTGGCAAAATCCTCCATGCTTCCGGTTTCTGATGTCTCAGTTAATGCGACTGAACTGGGGACCTTGTTACACCACCTTTTAAAAGTGATCCAGTAGCTATATAGCCTCTTGGATCACTTTTACAAGAAACAGAGTTACTGGCTGTAAAGAATGGTACTGGGATCATGGTTGTAGCCTCAACCATGGTCCTGGTATAACCAACTCAATACGAGACTGTCATATGAACCGATCCACCAGACGGATGGGGATCGGATCCCCATACGTCTGTTTTTAGCGTACAGGATCGGATCGGACGCCGGCGGGTGTCAGTGGGTCATCTGACATCCACTGGTCCATAGAGGGCTATGGATGGGCTATGGATGGAAAGACTACAGTAGAAGCAATTTTCTGTTTCCTTTTAGATACTCTGTAAATATAAATGTAAATGTACAGTAAAATATACAGTAACATTTTTGAAAGTGTAATGTTATCATGCATTTCTCAGTGTTTTCTCTTCTGTTACACACGTCATGCAGCTATCAACGGGTACATGTATGGAAATCAGCCCAGCCTGGATATGTGTGTAGGAGACTCCATACGCTGGCATATGCTGGGACTTGGTACAGAAGTTGATATACATGGAATCCATTTTACAGGAAACACTATTATAGTGCGTGACACTATAAGAGATGTTGCAAGTTTATTTCCACACATCTCATATTCCATAATGATGACACCAGACAATGAAGGTAAGTTACCGAAAATTGTTTTAAAAAAGTAATAATGAAAATGTTAAAGCTACCATGAGAAAAAATGGACAGTTACTATAGTGAACTATGCATCTGCACTGCAGCACACCACAACACACAAACCATACAGTGGTGGGCTGTGTTAGAAAAAAAGGTCAGGTATGGTTTAAAATGAACTGGTTGACTGAGAGCATATAGCATATAGAACCACCAAACCCCAAACAAAATAAAATATATATTAAGCACAGTGGCTAAATGGTTAGCACTTCTGCCTGGCAGTGCTACGGTTGCTGGTTTGAATCCCAACCACAGCACCACCTGTCTGGAGTTTGCATGTTCTCCCTGTGCCTCTGTGGGTTTACTCTGGGTTCCTCCCACACTCCAAAGACATGCTGGTAGGTTAATTGGCTCCTGTCTAAATTGGCCCTAGTATATGTATGTATGAATGTAAGCTATGGACCTTAGATTGTATGCCCCTTGAGGGTTAGGTACTGATGTGAATGTACAATATATATGTAAAGCACTGTGTAAATTGAAGGCGCTATATCAGTACCTGTAATAAACAAACTAGGGTTTTCTTTTTCCATGGCTTTTCCCTTTATTTTTACCAGGTAATCCTGCAAATTTCACACTTTCTGTCTCTTCGTGGATATACCCTGGACCAGGGGCGGACTGACCATTTGGAAACTTGGGAACTGCCTGAGGGCCCAGGGTCAGTAGGGAGCCCCATGTGATGCCCCTGGTACCGTTTTCATAGGCTTTTTTGAGTTTGGGCAAGGACACAGGGGCCCCATGATCCCCTATTGCCCGGGGGCCCCATGAGTTGTCAGTCTGCCCCTGCCCTGGACCAGTGTTTTTCAACCTTTTTTCATTCAACATGCCCTTTAAAATGTTTTATTAGACTAAAGGTTCACTAACATGTGTGACTGAGGGGTGATAAAAGCACATGCTTTAGCTAAGTATTTACAACCCCCTAACTGCTCCCTTTTTAGCTTAAGAGGCAGTAGCTGGGGTCATACACATGCTGCGGCCATGGCAGGAATTTTTACCCTGCCTGCCAAATGTGACCCATTCAGGTGAATTGGGCTGTTCTGCAAATGTCTCATGATGCTGCATTTAGGGAATTAAAACTGGTGGTGTGGAGGTGACATATTGCATCCTTACCTCTTATCATATTGTGAACAAGCCCTAACTAGATAGTCCCACTATCTTGGAAAAGAAGTTCTGATCTACAGGTTAAGTGCTAAGGATTAGAAATAATGTACAAAAATACATACAGGCGCACATATATACATGCACACACATACAATACATTACAAACATAAACTCCCATACACACACACAGACATACACACAAACACACACATATACATACACATACATATACTCCCACACACATGCACAGACTTGCCTTCACGCACACACAAACACACAGCCTTTTTGCCAAATGCAGTCTGTACCTGTACTTGGATTGCTGGGCGAATGGTTAGTTTGCATTGCTGCCTGTAGGGGGAGGCAGAGAGATCAGGACTCAGAAAGACTTTCCTCTTCCATTGCTCTGCTCGTTCCCCTGATTGAGCTCTCATTGTGCAGTTTCAGGTAAGATCAGTGGTATTTTCAGTACTTGCTGAAAATGTTCTTAGCCTGGAAAAAAAAGAAAACGAATGCAGCTACCTCATCTAAGGGCTAGTAAGCTGCAATATATTACATTTTTCTTTTTGTGCTTGGCTATGCTTTAATGCAGTGTGCCTTAACATGGTTCTAAAGACTTAAATGGTTGTAAAGGCTCAAGGTTTGTACCTTCATGCATTCTATGCATGAAAGCAAAATACTTTCCTGAGCCTCATCGCAATCTAGCAATGTGCACCAGAGCCTCGGCTCTCTGGGGACTCTCTCTCCTCATTATCTCTCAATCAAAGCCAGTGAGCCAATGAGGAAGGAGAGAGGGCAGGGCCGCGGCTCTGTGTGTGAATGGACACCAGGCCTGGACTGGCCATAGGGCACACTGGGCATTTGCCTGATGGGCTGTAGCTGCAGGGCCACATGTACTTGTGGGGCTCAAAGCTGAGCTGTCCCTTGAGCCAGTGCCACTCAACAGCCTTTCCACAGCCGGCCAGCCACCCATTAAGTTCACAGCATGGCAGTCAAGGTGGGGGGGGCAACATTGTGTGGTCTCCAGGCCCTTTAGATATGGTCACATATCTAGAACTGCAGCCTGGCTCATTTCTGTATCCATTTGTACTGCCATTGTGCATGTACATGAGCACTTAGTAAATCCAACTCTGTTTCCTACCTGCCCTGATCATACTCACTGCTGGAAGCATCTTTACTGCTCAAAGTAAGAACTTCTCAGGGGGGCTGGTGGGTGGGGTAGTGCTGGGTAATAATGGGGATGAAGGCTTCCGTAGGAGGACCAGACCTTATTGCTGGTGTTTGACTTTTCAACCTGGCTCCTTCCTGCCCTCCAACTGGCTGCATCCTCTCTCTCTTCTGTCCACCTGGCTCTTTCCTCCCCTCCACCTGGCTGCAACTCCCCTCTCTTCTGTCCACCTGGCTCTTTCCTCCCCTCCACCTGGCTGCAACTCCCCTCTCTTCTATCCACCTGGCCCTTTACTCTCCTCCACCTGGCTGCATCCTCCTTCTCTTCTGTCCATTTGGCTCCCCCCCACACCTCCTCCCCCCGGTCTGTCTCCTCCACCCACCTGGATGCAGGGCAATTGCCATGCGTGGCAGTGCTAGGCAAGTTTGCGAAGCCAAATTCCAGATGCTTTTGTTTTATGTAACTATGCCCCTTAAGTCCCTCCCATTGTTAACACAGTTTGGCCACACCCTCTGTTCGCTGTGGAGAGCTACACACACCACATTGCTGTTCTTTATGGGCACCCAAAGGTAGTATGACCTTTAGATTGTAAGGTCCACGAGCAGGTCCCTCATATTCCTTCTGTACTGAAATGTATTATAATTGTACTGTTTGCTTTATATTGTCAAGTGCTGCGTTATATAAATCCTGTATAATAATAATAATATACTACAAAAAAAAAATTTAAAAAAAGGAACAGAACATGATGCCAGCACTCAGTGGTAGCTGCCTGTGAAAACTGGGCAGAGGAAAACAGAAAACAGAATCTCTTACACGATGTGCATAGCCAGATTATATTTGCTACTTCCATATGAAGCAGGCTCAATATATAACTAAAAGACACAGATACATTGGTAGTTGTCATTATTTGTAATTTGCTTTAAAAAAAAAAAAAGGGTCTGTTCAGTCTAAAATGCCCAGGCCTATTTTTATGTCCCAGTCTGGCCCTGATGGACTTATACTTACTTGAGCCATATCTTGATCTAGCTCTGTGCCCGAGAGCAGCAGCTCTCTCCAGAGCAGATTGATATCAGTGGGAGCCTTTGGCTCCTGCTGCTGTCAATCAAATCCTGTGATGAGGGAGCAAGGGCTGACCCGCACTGTCTGTGTCTATAGATGCAGGCAACGCAACTTGGAATCAAGCCTGCACAAGTGCTCCAATAGAGGTGGAGCCAATACTGCCAGTGGGGGACCCCAAAAGAACAAGGACAGGAATGCTCTGTGCAACACCATTGCACAGAGCAGGTAAGTTAAACAAGATTGATATTTTTAAAAAATGGAAGGTTTACAATCACTTTTTATACACAGTAACTCATATGTTAGCACAGATGTATTTAACAACGTATAGGAATTGATTTGAAAAAACTGCAAAATCTGGTGCAGCTGTGCATGGTAGCCAATCAGCTTTTAACATTCAGCTTGTTCCATTAAGCTTTGACAATAAAACTTGGAAGTTGATTGGTTTCTATGCAGAGCTGCACCAGATTTTACACCCTTTAATTTTAGTATATCAACCCCATAGTGTAAAAGGGGCATAATGAATGTGTCAAGTTTTCACATGCCTACTGGTTAGCAGCAAGCTAGCAACATTTTTCATTAGTCTTGTGCAGTACAAAAATGTGCAGTTTTAGCTGATGCATGTTGAAATATGGTAATGGCACAACTCAAGGAAAATCTATTTTGCGAAGTATCAAAAATGTTTGTGACAGTAACAGGCATATTTTTACTGAAATTTCTATTTTAGGTAGCAAATTATATGTCATTGGACAATGCATATTACATCTTTTCATTTCGACATTTTTAAAGAAATGATCTATCCTAACCAGGGGTGGACTGACCATTTGGAAACTTGGGCACTGCCCGAGGGCCCAGGGTCAGTAGGGGGCCCCATGAGATGCTCAAAAAAGGGGGGTTTGTGAAAAGAGATTCACAGAAAAGCGGCTACATTATGAACAGACCGTGACACTCAGAAAATTTTCCAAAAATTATGCTTTATTACACAGATATCAATATGACATATGGGCATTCGCCCTGGTTTACCATCACCTCAGTATGAGACAATAACACACAGACCTAAAACCATATAAAATGACATCAAGACCGGTCTAAATGTATGTGCAACAGAAAAAGTGACTGCAAGAGTCTAATATCTCTGTAGTACAAACACATAGGTAAACACTTCCCTGAAGAGGTGTATCCAAAAATTATACCATAGGTATACCATAATATTAAATAATGAATTTACACCAATATCATAATGGTGAATCCCGAACAGGGAATCCAAAAATTATACTATGGATATACGTATATCACATGTATGAAATGCAGTAAGCACAATAAGCGTGGGACATAAGCGCCATCTTGTGGTATTTGTTGGTATCTTTTGATAATTGATATTGTCTCCCCAAGAACCCGATTCAGTGGATGGAATTCATGATTCTTTGATTTATATCGCCATCTCCTGGTTAAAGTGTGATAAAAGCCCCAACAGACTGGTATATGTAATTTATGATCTTTGATTAATATATATATGTTTTGGTTAAAACATTAAGCCTCTCCCCTCCCTGTGGACTCCAGCCGCCTGCCTTTTTAATTTTAATTAAGACCAGTAGCTGTGCTAAGTATTTAGCCCCCCCCCCTTGTTTTCTTCCATTAGGAACAACTGCAGGTCACCTCTTTTGCATAAATGGGTGGGTCTTTACCCACTATAAATAGGATATTGAAATGCAGCTGTCCCATTGGTCCTGACGAAGCTGAGTGAGATACGCCCATCGGCGAAACGCGTTGACGTCATACGTCAGATACGTCACTTCCGGTCATGCGCACTAGGTGGAACGCACGCTGACCCATAAGGAGGAAGCCATCTTCACATGCCATGAGGCAAGCGTGAGCAGTACAGGCGCTGAGAGGGGGCTGGAACCCGCGGTATATCGGCGGATGTCAGCGGTGGTTCCTGGGCCTCTGTGGCCGTGTTTGGCAATATCCATGAAGGACATTTCTTTCATTCCCTTTATCCACGGCACAGTGGTGGTGAGTGGATTGTTACAGGACATTAGATATACGGTCCTCTGTGATCAATATGACCTACATATCTTATTGAGTGCAAGCTCTGTCAGTGACTTCCCACATTATTTGTTTCACTACAGGATGGGGACATTATGGTGCTTTGTGTAGGATACAGGACATACCGCATATAGCTCAACAGGCAGAAGATTCCTTGGGATATGTTTTGCTTTTCCTACAAAGGGTGGTGTGTAGTCCACATACAGTGGTGAAGACACCATTTCAAGCAGAGTGCTGCAATCTGCACCTTTTCTCCCATCCTGGGAATAAATGGGGCTTATTTCCATTCAAGAGCTTTATGATACAGCTGTTCACATAACAGATGAACGGGCCCCAACCACGTGTGCCGGCACAGGAATGTATTGCATCATATATTTGACATTTATGTCTTTTTCCAAACAGGCCTGAGGCTTACTGTTCCCCTCTTTACGCTTATTGTGCTTACTGCATTTAGCATACATGTGATATACGTATATCCATAGTATAATTTTTGGATTCCCTGTTCGGGATTCACCATTATGATATTGGTGTAAATTCATTATTTAATATTATGGTATACCTATGGTATAATTTTTGGATACACCTCTTCAGGGAAGTGTTTACCTATGTGTTTGTACTACAGAGATATTAGACTCTTGCAGTCACTTTTTCTGTTGCACATACATTTAGACCGGTCTTGATGTCATTTTATATGGTTTTAGGTCTGTGTGTTATTGTCTCATACTGAGGTGATGGTAAACCAGGGCGAATGCCCATATGTCATATTGATATCTGTGTAATAAAGCATAATTTTTGGAAAATTTTCTGAGTGTCACGGTCTGTTCATAATGTAGCCGCTTTTCTGTGAATCTCTTTTCACAAACCCCCCTTTTTTGAATGCCTTTTTTGGCTACTGAATGGAAACCAAACATTGGGTGACACGATAACTTAATTAACAACCTCTTAATAACTACCTATAATATATAGGCCCCATGAGATGCCCCTGGTACCTTTTTCATAGGTTTTTTGGAGTTTGGGAAGGACACAGGGGCCCCATGATCCCCTATTTCCCGGGGGCCCCATGAGTTGTCAGTCTGCCCCTGATCCTAACCTGCTTTCCCTTTCTTCCTTGCAGGTGTCTTCAATGTAGAATGCATGACCACAGACCATTACACCGGAGGAATGAGACAGCACTACAAGGTGAAGTCATGTGCTGAAAAGAAGAGACAGTTTGGGCTACATCAGATAAAGACATATTACATTGCAGCTGAGGAAATAGAATGGGACTATGCTCCAAACCGCACCTGGGAACATGAGTGGCTTTTACACCACCCTGAGAGGTAATGATGTAGAGAATTGCTGAACCACTGATATCTAACATCCCAGTCAAGTCTCAGAGTTTAAAAACTAGGTCTATTTTAAAAAAAAAATAATATATATACACATATTTTTGTAGGAAAAATGTACATTTATTATTTGTTTCCACAGGAGTCTGCAAAACATTGCACCCATGATCAGTGGAACAGTGGTGCAATGTCAGACTCCTGCAGACACTTCCTCCAGTTCTCTGCCCATACCTTGGTACAGGCTTCAGGTAAAAAACTGGAAGAAGTGTCAATGGATGAAGTGTGCAGTGGCCACTTGCCCTTGCCCTACAGCAGAAGTACTGCTACAGGGTGGCAGGGCTGCACAAAATCACGTGTATATATACGTGATTTGTATTTCTGTGTCACCCTACCCGTGCCGCTATTGGCGGTTGGGGATGTCAGTCACTGGGTCCCGGCCGGTACTCGGCAAACCATCGGCAAAGCTGACAGGGGAGAGACCTGTGTGTAAACAACACAGGTGTCTCTCCTGTCAACATGGACATACTGCTTTGTACCTCTGCACAGCAAAGAGATACAAAACAGCATGTCTCCCTAGTAAAACACAGCACACAACGTAAAAACACACACAGCACACTGTTAACCCGTTGATCATCCCAAATGTTAACCCCTTCCTGCCCCGTGTCATTAGTACATTGTCAGTGCTTTTTATTAGCACTGATCACTGTATTAGTGTCAGTGGGGATGTCAGTGGCAGTTAGTCAGTTCCCACCCAATGTCAGAATGCCCCTATCCCTCTATAAGTGGCTGATCACCGCCATTACTGGTATAAAAAAAAATAAAAATAAAAATTCCAGTATATACACTGCCATTTGTAGACGCTATAACTGTCATGTAAATCAATTAATATACAATTATTGGGATTTTTTTAGCAAAGATATGTAGCAGAATAAATTTTGGCCTAATATGTATATTGGATATGTTTTTATCGCAAAATTCAAAAATATTGTTTTTTTTTTTAAAATTGACGGTCTTTTTTTGTTTATAGAGAAAAATTAATAAATGCAGTGGTGATCAAACACCACCAAAAGAAAGCTGTATGTATGGGGAAAAAATGGCAGAAATTTCATTTATGCACAACATTGCATGATCTCGCAATTGTCAGTTAAAGTAACGCAGTACCGTATTGCAAAAAATGGCCTGGTCAGGAAGGGGGGTAAATCCTCTGGAGGGCAAGTGGTTAATGCACTCTTAGTCCTTTGAGAACTTCAAGTCTGTCTGCCATGATGGCCAACGGGACTTGTATTTTATTCATTCTCAGGTCTCTGTAAATTAAATGATATGACTGTGCGGGTGTTGCGTCGATTTTAAATGTGACATCAGCTGCAGGGGATAGGAACCCCCATGCTTTGTCATGGGGGTGGTTTTGGGGGTTGGAAGAAGGTGCTTGGGAACATGTTACATCCTAAATACAGGTGCAACATATAAACATGTTCCTAAAGGTGAACTTATCCAAATTTTGTAATACAAGGCGCTTTTCTAATGAGGAGAGATATGCTTTTTGATCTTAAAGGAAAAGTGTGCAAATTGAAAAAAAACCAACACACATACTCACCTCCATACTTCATTATCCTTGTGAGCTGCAGCTGTTGGGGCAATAACCTGCTCTCAGCTGACTCTGGGTCAAATGAAGGCAAAAATAAGTGCACTCAACTGACCCACAAGATAGGTATGGGCAAAAAAGCCTTGGATAGTCTTTCCTTTTAACAGATGCTATTACCTAAATAGAAAGAATACAGCATATTAGGTCATTATGGAGAGATTCTCATATTCACGTTAGTTTCAATAAAAATACATACAGTACATATTATTTGTATACTGTAGATCATGCTTTCTTAACCCAAGTTCCTCAGGCCTTATATGACAGTGTCTTGTAGACCATGTTCATTGGGTTGAATCCATTCTTCAATTTAATGTGAGACAGGGGAATCTGTTTAATAATCAGTGAGCAATGCGGAGAATTGTGAAAGAAAGAGTGAACAAGCTATACCAATGTAGTAGAAGATCAGAGGGAAAACTTTCAGACCTATTTAGATGCTGTAAAAAACTTTAAGTAGCAAAATTTAAAAAAAAAAAAAAAAAGTTAAAACTGGAGAAAGCAAACCATGGACTAATAAATTGCTCAAGAAAAGGTCGAAGACGAAGCCACGTGGTGGGTGGCGTTACGCCAACCACCACATGGCATTGTCAGGGAAAACTGACAAAGCCATGTGGTTGGTGGCGTAATGTGTGGGGGCGGAGCATAGTGACGTCATTGGCAGCTTTTCACTGAGCCGGAGTTTTGAATTGCAAATTGCTATGTTACTGCTTCCATCATTTGAGTGACACTCTGGAATTATTTTATGTGGAATTAAAACAGTATTACACTATGGGAGATGTCCTCAGTTCTTTCTATATGTTGAGTTCAGCTGAGAAGAGTCCCCTTTATACTGTCATTGAAGGGGTGCCTGTCATCAGCTCTCTGCTACCATCTAGAGCATCGTTTTGGAATTACCATGCTTGGTTGACCTGTATTAATTTATGGGTCCATGATAGGAGGTGAGCGGCCATCCATATATTTTTAGGTGGAGGAACATTGAGTTAAGGTGGAACACTGTTTTTTCAAATAGACTTCATTTATCCGGAGCACATCGTAGTGATTCTTCACCATTCAAGCACCTATTTTGATTTTCACCATTCAAGCACTTTATATGTATATTTATATTTCATATTTCGATTGAACTATCACATTTTAATCTGTTTATGAACTATTATGTCTATATGAGTTAGCGCAACACTATTTATGTGTATTTTATGGTTTAAGTGTGGGATCACCTTTTAAGTGTTTTTGCAGCGGCTCTATTTTATTAGCTTATTCACTAGTTTGATAGCGCACATTGTTTTTTTATTTGTTTATATGATCTCAGGGTATAGAAATCAAAAGTCCTTGAGTCAAAGCTTCAGACTGGCACTCTCACTGTCAAACCATCAGGATATTGTTACAGTGCAACCACATTGATGAGGTGTATGGATGAACCCAATGGCAGCCTTTAGTCTCAAATAATGCTCACCGCAACAATATATATAAAGCATGAAGGAAAAAGCCTCAATGTGCAGTAAAATCAAGTTTAGATTTATTAATAAAAGTATTGAACTTACATCAGGTAGGTAGACACAAGCAGCAAAACGCAAGAACACCCAGCCACCGTGTCAGCTGACACGCTGATACATGATGACTTCACACTCAGACTCCACCCAGATTACATATATTACCAAAAGTGTATGAAGAGGTATTTCCCACACATCAGAACTTGACTCGGTTCCCTATTTATTCAATGTACTATATAGACTGTGTATTTGCTAAAACATCATATTTTTTGTTCTCCAAAAGCCCTGGTGATGTATTTTTAAATAAAAGTCAAACATCTGTTGGTTCAAAGTATAAGAAAGCTGTATACCGGGAATATACAGATGACACGTTTGCAACACGCAAAGAAAGGACAGAAAATGAAGATCATCTTGGAATTTTAGGTAACAGGACAAAACTTTTTGAGGTCTATTTTTTGCTGATATTAAAGTAATTCTTTAAAGCTTAAGTCTGTTCCTGCCTTAGATTCCCCTCCCCATCTCTGATTATAACACACTCATTAATGTGATATATGTTAAATAATCAGACTTTTGTTGATTATATTTTAATTTAACTATAGAGGTGTGCACAAATTACGTAAATGCCGTGTTGGGAAAAATTACAGCAAAAGTTTTTTTCTATTCATTTCCAACAAAAAACAAGAAAATAAAAATATATGTATCTAAATATGCATTCAAATTACAACCTATCTGTTCTGAAACAATTATATACTGTATAATATGTTAGGGTAGGCTACAAAATCTAAAGATACAATGTGCAGAACTAAGCCATTGCCAAAATAAAAAAATGCTCCGATATTGAAGCGGTTACACCGTGTTCCAAATTATTATGCAAATGATAATTTTCTCATTTACCTAAAAAATTGATGTAAATAACAGTCAGCATAATTCTCATGTTATCAACTATTAAGAGTACAATTCAAATTTATTGAACAAACCTCCTAATGATAACAGTATTTTTTTTAAACATAAAACACTTACAATGCACTGTTCCAAATTATTCCGCACAGTAAGTTTCAAAACACTTTATAGGTTGTAAAGAACTGAAAATTGTCATTTGTTGTGTTTGCAGCATATATACTGAAATCAAAAGCTATTTCAATCAAACTTTTAACAACATTTTAACTTTTTAAACATTTTAACAGGTCATGTTACATTTTAACATAGGACCCCTTATTTGATAGCAGCTTCACAAGTCTTGCATCCATTGAACTTGTGAGTTTTTGGACAGTTTCTGCTTGAATTTGTTTGCAAGATGTCAGAATAGCCTCCCAGAGCTGCTGTTTGGATGTAAACTTCCTCGCACCCTCATAGGTCTTTTGCTTGTGGATGCTCCAAAGGTTCTCAATAGGATTGAGGTCAGGGGAGGATGGAGGCCACACCGTGACTTTCTCTCCTTTTATCCCCATAGCAGCCATTGATGCGGAGGTATTCTTTGCAGCATGAGATGGTGCATTGTCATGCATGAAGATGATTTTATTACGGAAAGCATAGTTCTTCCTTCTGTACCAGGGAAGAAAGTGGTCAGTCATAAGCTCCACATACTTTGCAGAGGTCATCTTTAAACCTTCGGGGACCCTAAAGGGGACGACCAGCTCTGTTCCCATGATTCCGGCCCAAAACATGACTCCACCACCGCCTTGCTGATGTTGCAGCCTTGTTGAAACAGGGTGGCCGTCCACCAACCATCCACTACTCCATTCATCTGGACCATACAGGGTTGCAGGGAGCTCATCAGTGAACAGGACTGTTTGAAAATTAGTCTTCATGTATTTTTCTGCCCAATGCAGCCGTTTCTGCTTGTGAGCATTGGTTAGTGGTGGCCGAATGGAAGGTTTATGCACAGTTGCAAGACTCTGGAGGACTCTACACCTTGATGTCCGTGGGACTCCAGAGGCACCAGCAGCTTCAAATATCTGTTTGCTGTTATGTAATGGTATTTTAGCAGCTGCTCTCTTGATCCGATGCATGGATCTGGCAGAAATCTTCCTCAATGTGCCTTTATCTGCACGAACCCGTCTGTGCTCTGAATCAGCCGCAAATCTCTTAATAGTGCGATGATCACGCTTACATTTTCGTGAAATATCTAATGTTTTCATACCTCGTCCAAGGAATTGAACTATTTCACTCTTTTCGGCAGCAGAGAGATCCTTTTTCTTCCCCATATTGCTTGAAAATGGTGCTCTGCTTAATAATGTGGAACACCCTCCTTTTAGTAGTCTTTCCTTAAATTGGGCTCACCGGTCAATCTAATTATCACAGGTGTCCGAGATTGTTTTCAGTGATCAAAAGAGCCCTGAGACACAATGCCATCCATGAGTTAAACTGAAAAACAAAATATTTAATCTTTGTGACACTTAAATAGAATTTGCATAATAATTTGGAACAGGGTGTCGTTAGTTATTATTATTTCCGTGTTAAAATTTTGTACAGAGCCCTCCTCCCTTTGAACTCATACTTTACATCTGGGGGCAGGAAGCGAAAGGGTAAGTTATTATTTGGATCAATTTTCCAATTCACAGTTAATCAGGTTTGCTAGCAAAATACATATCTTAATCCTTGAGATCCAAGGCTCATAATGAAATGTCAAGATGCTTAGCAAGTATTGATTGATGTGAATTGATTTGCTCATTCCTACCCAAAATTGTATTTTTCGTTTCTAATTTTATAATTAAAATTTCGTTAACAAAAAAAAGAAAGGGGAAGTTGAGTTTTACCCCCCCTTAAAATGTTTTTGTTTTTTTTCAGGCCCACTTATACAAGCAAATGTTGGGGAAGAAATTAAAATTATATTCAAGAACAAAGCAAGCAGACCCTACTCAATTAATGCACATGGTATTAAACCACAAAATAATGATGTAAAAGCAACTGAACCTGGTAGGTAAAAATGTAAAAAGCATATTTTGTACACCTAAATGTGCATTTTAAAGTGTATGTAAACCCTAACAATTAGCTTCTGTTTGTTATTTTCTTCTTTTTGTTCTGTTAAATATACAATTGAATATGTTTTGTTATATCTGTTCAATAAGTGCAAATAATACCTGTTGATCCTGCCAGAAATCTAGTGTAGCACCCTCCTAGGTAGCTAGAGGGAACTAGACTCAAATTGTTAGCTAGGGCTGAGTAGCAGTCTGGGAGTAATAACTTGCAGGGGTCAAAAGTTGATGAGAGCTGAGAGACTCTGCAGACCAGCCCTTTGGAATTTCCCCCTGCTCTAGACCTTTGGAGAAAGGTCTATAAGCAGTAGGTGGATCTGAGGAGTGGCTGATCTGCACTTTTGAGGTAGCCTGGCCAATCCCCAACAGGAGGCTTGGCAAGGGGCCAGGATGACCCTTAAAAGTGATTAAGCCTGCTCAGCAGCAGGAGAGTTCAGGTGGAAGAGAGAGAGAGAGAGAAGGACGTGAGACTGGAGGCAGGAGCCTGTGAGGGGACCAGATGGAGAAAGGCTCACCTGCAGGCAGAGCATCTTGGAAGGTGAAACTTCCAACAGAGATGACCACCTGTGTGGAAGGGAAGGAGCGGCCCAGCTAGAAGGTCTGGTAGCAGCCACCGACCCACTAGCAGAACATGAGAGGGACCAAGTGAGTAAACCTGCACCCCCTGGGCCAGTAAGGGGAAATGAGCACTCTATTGGGGAACTTGATTTGCTATCTTACCTGGGACTGTTTCACACTGGAGTGGCAGGCACTGGGTCCCCTGCCCAGGGACTCACCCAGTACAGCTAGATGAGGAGAGGAGTCATCTGAGTTATGGGTTGGTACTACAGGAGATGCTGGATAGCTCTATAGAAGAGAAACTTTGCTGTAAAAACTTGTTCAAAGTTGCTAAGGAGTTTTGTCTTCAGTTGACATTTCCCTTGGGCATTCCATACACCCCTTACCCAGTCCCAGTTCGAAACCCCTAATAAAACTCCAAACAAAGCTCAAGGATTGGTTACTGTCTCCCAATGCAAGTCTGAGTGAAGAAAATGTGTATTGCCTGGCTGTGCAGGACTATAGGGGGACCCAAATACTCAACAACTCCTAAGGGGGTAGTGCTACACCAGTAAGCTCCTAACTTCCTACACACACTGCTGTGCTATCTAAAGCAATCATATCAGCCCTACCCAGTTTTCTGAAATAAAGGACACCTCTCTGCTTTATTATGGAGAGACCAGGGGCGGACTGACAACGCATGGGGCCCCGGGCAATAGGGGATCATGGGGCCCCTGTGTCCTTGCCCAAACTCAAAAAAGCCTATGAAAAAGGTTCAGGGGCATCTCATGGGGCCCCCTACTGACCCCAGGCCCTCGGGCAGTGCCCAAGCTTCCAAATGGTCAGTCCGCCCCTGGGAGAGACAGAGAGGGAAGTTTTTGTAGTGCTAACACCCTTCGTGTACTGCAGTTCTGCTTCTCAATGCATATAGTTGTATGAGTGTTGTCACCCTAGGACAGGAAGTGTGTTACTGATAGGATAACCAGGTGAAAAAAAGTCATAAAAAAGAAAACTAATGCAGCTACTGCATCTAAAGACTAGAAAGCATCACAATATTATATTTATTTTGGTCTTAAGTTTGGATAAACCTAGAGGCTAAGTTCACCTTTGCGCAAAAAATTAATACATGCAGAGATTTTTTCAGTAAAAAAAAAATGTACAGGCTTAAGCCTGCAAAGCATTGTATCCACGATTAGGGGATCACAGGAGCAATATCACACTCCTGCAAGCAAGTACAGCTTTCTTCTTGTACCTCTGTACGGGCTTTCCACTTGCAAGCTGCAGGACTTGTGAATGCACTGTGAGAGCACTGTTCAGTACACTTGCAGGACTTTGAAACTACAAGTTCATCTTCCATGGTGGCAGATGGGACTTGGAATTTATTCATTCGCAGATTGCTGTGAATGAATGACACGTCTGTGCAGGCAGAAGAGGAGCCCCTGCCCACTGTCATGGTGGGGATCATGGGGTTAGGGAGCCCAGTCAGGCATAACGTGTTTTTAAACGTTGGATTTAGCCTTTAAAGTGGTCTTAAACTCTCTTTTTTAACTTGTACCCGCAGATAAGCCTATAATAAGACTTACCTGTAGGTACTGTAAATATCTCCTAAACGTGCACAATTTAGGAGATATTTACCTGTGTAGAGTGCCGGCACATGCGCTCTGAAGGAACAGCAAGTTTCACATAATGCGATGCATACTAGCGTGTTATGACATTGCCTTGCAGGGGAAACATTTTGGTTTCCTTTTTTTGAGAGATTACTACTGCTTTAAATGCATGCATTTTTCCTGAATTACTGACCAGTTTGTCTACTATGTTTAAATAAGTATCATTTTACTCTAATCCTTTTGTAAGCATATTTCTGTGGTTTGCAGGACATGTGGAAACCTATATATGGTCAGTCCCAGAAAGATCTGGGCCTAGCAGGCAGGAGGAAACCTGTTTGACTTGGGCTTATTACTCCACAGTTGATCAAATTAAGGTAAGGTGAAAAAATGCTGATTTGTCCAAATCAACCTTCCAAACTTTGAAACGTCAGTCCCATTCAATAGATAAAATAAGGTCAAAAAGAGGTTGTTTCCATCTGTTCATTATAAAGAATAGGAAGGTAATCTATACAGCTAAGTGTAACATATTGCTCTTTGTAATCAGCAAATGTTGATTGGGAAAAATGAAGTTGAGGATGCCTACAGTATGTCTTTTTTGCCTTAATCATTATTATACTTTAGCCCTGGTTCACACTGTTGTGGTGCGGAATTCGCAGCGTTTTCTGTGCGAATTCCGCACTGCATCAGAATCGCACCCCGTTCATGCGAACCGCTGCGGGTGTGTATGTTAACAACACCCCGAAAGTGGTCCGCATAACACGGTGTGATGTGCAGAATAGGATCACATAGGTGTGAATACCTATGCGATCCAATTCTAGTGCTGACCCAAAAAAGGGTCCTCACCTTTTTGGTGCGGGTGCGGTTTGATTAGAGCCATGCAATATATCGCACCGCATATATGGGAACCTAGGCTCACAGTATTACTTACTCTGCCTAAGGTATATAATACAAGAGAAACTATTTCCATTCTACACTCACCGGCCACTTTATTAGGTACACCTGTTCAATTGCTTGGTAACACAAATTACTAATCAGCCAACCACATGGCAGAAACTCAATGCATTTAGGCATCTAGACGTGGTGAAGTTTACTTGCTGAAGTTCAAACTGAGAATCAGAATGCGGAAAAAAGTGGATTTAACTTTTTTTTTTTTACTTTGGACATGGAATGGTTTTTGGTGCCAGACTGGATTTTTACACACAACCATTTCTAGGTTTTACAGAGAATGATCCAAATAGAGAAATTATCCAGTGAGCGGCAGTTTTATGTCAAAAATGCATTGTTGATGTCAGAGGTCAGAGGAGATGATAGAAAGGCAACAGTAACTCAAATGACCACTTGTTACAACCGAGGTCTGCAGAATACCATCTCTGAAAGCAAAACACGTTGAGCCTTGAAACAGATGGGATACCACAGCAAAAGACCACACACCGGATGCCACTCCTGTCAGCTAAGAACAGGAAACGGAAGCTACAATTCACACAGGCTCACCAAAATTGGACAGCGGAAGATTTGAAAAATGTTGCCTGGTATGATGAGTCTCGAGTTCAGCTGCAACATTCAGATGGTAGGGCCAGAATTTGGCATAAACAACATGAAAGCATGGATCCATCCTGCCTTGTATCAACGGTTCAGGCTGGTGGTGGTGGTATAATGGTGTGGGGATATTAGCACATTTTGGGCCGCTTAGTACCAATTGAGCATTGTTTAAATGCCACGGCCTACCTGAGTATTGTTGATAACTATGTCCATCCCTTTATGACTAAAGTGTGTCCACAAAGCTCAAAATCATCTCAAACTGGTTTCTTGTACATGACAATGAGTTCACTGTACTCCAGTGGCCTCCACAGTCACCAGATCCCAAGCCAATAAAGTACCTTTGGGATGTGGTGGAATGGGAGATTCGCATCATGGATGTGAAGCTGACAATCTGCAGCAACTGCGTAATGCTATCATGTCAATATGGACCAAAATCTCTGCAGAATGTTCCCAACACCATGTTGAATCTATGCCACAAAGAATTAGGGCAGTTCTGAAGGCAAAAGGGTGTCCAACTCGATACTAGTAAGGTGTACCTAATAAAGTGGCCAGTGAGTGTATATCAATTGTAAGAAATTAGAAATGATATATTCTTAGGTCCCATATATTTCATTCAGTGTATAGCATTCTCTGACAGGTGGTGTACCTACTAACCAGTGTACTTCTCCCCAGGACACCTACAGTGGCCTCATTGGCCCACTTGTGATCTGCAAGAAACCTGTTTTTCCATTTTCCTTACGACCTGTGCCAAAGAAGCGATTTTCTCTACTTTTCATGGTCTTTGATGAAAATCAGTCCTGGTATCTTGATGAAAATATCCAAACATATTCCCTACACCCAGATGAAGTGAATAAAGAGGATGAAGAATTCAGTGAAAGCAATATGATGCATGGTATTTCTTCTAATTCTTTATTTAATAGAAAATTACTAGATACAGTTGCAAGAAAAAGTATGTGAACCCCTTGGGATTACGTGGAGTTTTGCATGAATTGGGCATAAAATGTGCTCTGAACGTCATCTAAGTCACAACAATAGAAGAACACAGTCTGCTGAACATAATACTACACAAACATTAGATGTTGCCATGGTTTAATTGCACATAACATGTAAACATTCACAGTGCAGGGAGGAAACAGTATGTGAGGCCCTAGCTTAATGACTTCTCCCAGAGCTAATTGGAGCCAGGAGTGAGCCAACCTTGACTCCAATCATTGTGATGATATTGGATGTGTTGCTGACAGCTGTCCTGCCCTTAAAAAACACACACCTGTTTTGGGTTTACTGGTTTCAAGAAGCACTGTCTGATGTGAACCATGCCTCGCAGAAAAGAGCTCTCAGAAGACCTACGATCAAGAATTGAGACTTGCATGAAGCTGGAAAGGGTTTACAAAAGTATCTCCAAAAGCCTTGATGTTCATGTGTCCACGGTAAGACAGACTGTCTACAAATGGAGAAAGTTTAGCACTGTTGATACTCTCCCTAGGCGTGGTCATCCTGTAAAAATGACTGCAAGAGCACAGCGCAGAATGCTGCATGAGGTAAAGAAGAATCCCAGAGTGTCAGCTAAAGACCTACAGAAATCTCTGGCACATGCTAACATTTTTGTTGACACATCTACAATAAGGAAAACATTAAACAAGAATGGAGTACATGGGAGGACACCACGGAGAAAGCCATTGCTGTCCAAAAGGAATATTGCAGCACGTTTGAGGTTTGCAAAAGAGCACCTGGATGTTCCACAGCACTACTGGCAAAATATACTGTGGACAGATGAAACCAAGATTGAGTTGTTTGGGAAGAACACACAACACTATGTGTGGAGAAAAAAAGGCACAGCACACCAACATCAAAACCTCATCCCCACTGTAAAACATGGTGGAGGGCATCATGGTTTGGGGCTGCTTTGCTGCCTCAGGGCCTGGATGGATTGTTGTCATTGATGGGAAAATGAATTCCAGAGTTTATCAAGACATTTTGCAGGAAAACGTACGACCATCTGTCCGCCAACTGAAGCTCCGCAGAGGATGGGTGATGCAACAGGACAATGACCCAAAGCATACAAGTAATTCAACAAACACATGGTACAACAGCACAGAATACGCCTTCTGGAGTGGCCCAGTCAGAGTCCTGACCTCAACCCGATTGAAATGCTGTGGCATGACCTTAAGAGAGCGATTCACACCAGACATCCCAAGAATATTGCTACACTGAAACAGTTTTGTGAAGAGGAGTGGTCCAAAATTACTCCAGATCGTTGTGCAGGGTCTGATCTGCAACTACAGAAAACGTTTGGTTGAGGTTATTGCTGCCAAAAGGAGGGTCAACCAGTTATTAAGTCCAAAGGTTCACATACTTTTTCCTCCCTGCACTGTGAATTTTTACATGCTATGTGCAATTAAACCATGGCAACATCTAATGTTTGTGTAGTATTATGTTCAGCAGACTGTGTTCTTCTATTGTTGTGACTTAGATGACATTCAGAGCACATTTTATGCCCAATTCATGCAAAACTCCATGTAATCCCAAGGGGTTCACATACTTTTTCTTGCAACTGTACATGACCAGCAATTCTATAGAAAAATAACATTTGGACAGATAAATGTATATACAAAGTAATGTCTAAGTAGTACACATATCTATGTTGCATTTTAATAGGGGTATTGATAAATTGGCTTAGAAGTGATGCTGTATCTTGTTATGAGTTCAGTTCTATAAAAATAAATTGTGGTAAATAGTCAGTTCTTACTAAACTGTTGGTATAGTATGAGAGCAATCTCCAAAGACCTTATAATAGTTAGTAATAGGTAATTGGTAGACCTGTCATTAAGACCCTACACAAGATGGAATGAATAAATGTTCTTTACATACTATTAGCACCACAGCAGCAGCCCCAATGATGCTTTATAAGGACGCCATGGGACAGGAACCAAAACCAGTAGAGTTCTGTCATTCCAATCTGATCTCTTGCCACACTGGTTCACAGTACATAATGGTTGCCCTTTCCAATGCCCTTTTGCATTTCCCTACTGAAATCTGTAGCTTACATAGCTTTCTCTATGTTCATATGTAAGCCGTGTACCGGGGTAGGCTCCCCAGGATACAGTGAAGTCACAAACGAGGAAAGCAACCCCAACACCAGCTTTTGCCACAACAGAATTTTACTTACATGTGGCAAATAAACACAACCACAAATGCTGGAATATACAATAAATTTACATACACCCAGCCCAAAGGCTGAGACCCTTGTGCTGCACAGTACGGTGCCTTCTGATGGATGAAGGTAGAAAGTGTAGTAATTTACCTACTGGTGGGCACAACTAAGCTGCCACACTGTACCTGTTATTACCCTAAAAGAGCAGGAATCAGTATATGGGTGTATGGTATGGGCTAGTGTGTGGTGCAGCACAACAATTTACAATCTTACACAAATCTACAGCATTCCCTCTCCCATAACTGGTCCTGTAGCACGTGCCTGAGTATTCCTTCTGAGCAAAACACCAGTCTGGCTTGAGTTTGTGGGATTTTATCAGCTCTCCAATGTGAAATGTCACTTTAAGTTGTGGAGTCCTTCCAATAATCAGTAACAACACTTGTGACCTGACACAATTAGAGAACCTAACTAACTAACTATAGACCTGGACTCAGTCTCAAGGCGCCAACACTGAAATGAGGTGCGTGCACGATCTTACCGACCCGGGTCTGCTTTGCATACGCTGGTGACTCTGTTCAGGACAAATGTCTCTCCAACAAGCATGCAGTCTTGCCGTATATGTTGCTTAGTTCCTCTGCTCTCATCAGCCTTCATGGCAGCACTCTCATCAGCATTCCTGGGCAGCAATCTCATCAGCTTCCTGGCAGCACTCTCATCAGCATTCCTGGCAGCAATCTCATCAGCTTCCTGGCAGCAATCTCATCAGCATTCCTGGCAGCAATCTCTGGTTACTGAGGGACGCTTTCACACCTGGATGTCATCAGATTCTCAGCTCACACGGCCCCTTATTCACCATGCTCCAAAACATGGCTTCTCACTCTCCTTCCTGTTCTCTCCAACGCCATGTACAAAAACCCCACCTCTTCATGAATATACAAATATCTATGCAGTCTGAGGCTGTGCTAGAAAAACAGTGACATCTTGTGGCTAAACCACAGAATGTCAGTCAAAACATTAATTTACTTCCACACAAACAGTGCTCAAACAATGAGAGCTGTTTCCCCATCTCACACATAAACAACTAGCCTTCAAGGTACCTGAAGCATATTTATGGATGCTATCTCTTTAATTTTTTACATTAAATCTAGAGATAATAGTGATGTGGCTTTCATGGTTACAGTTCTGCAATGTATCCATGATTTACAATACAATAATAAGACATAAGTATTCCGATTGGCTATGCTGCATTCAAGTGACCTTTGGTGGCCATCTTTGGGTCAGCACAGTCTTTATAGTTCCCTGCTCCAGGTTTTAGTGTGCATTTTGCAAACAAGTGAGGAAAGGAAAAGAGCACCTGCTTGTCAGGGAAAGTGGTAGCGGCAGGGAAAGGATACTGATGAGTAGGGCAGGCTGGGGACTCACAATCCTGTACTGTAGCCTCCCTTTTGGGACCAGACTGGCCAGGCTGCATTCCGCCCTCTGAAGACAGACGCTGTCGCTGCATCTTTACCCACTGACTCTCTGCTAAGAATTCTACTTTGAGTGTTACCCTTAGAGGCACTCTCCTGCTGGGGTTGTTTGTAGTTGGCATTTTCTGCAATACAAGTTCTGGGTTTATCTGCAACCAGACTGTCTCTACTGCTGCCTCATTATTTAATTATTTATTTCAGGTGCTTATATAGCACCATCAGTTTCCACAGCACTTTACATATATATTGTACATTCACATCAGTCCCTAACCCTCAAGGGGCGTACAATCTAAGGTCCCTAACTCACATTCATACATACACATACTAGGGCCAATTTAGACAGGATCCAATTAACCTACCAACATGTCTTTGAGTGTTTGAGGAAACCGGAGTACCTGGAGGAAACCCACACAGGCACAGGGGAGAACATGCAAACTCCAAGCAGGTGGTGCCGTAGTTGGGATTCTAACCAATGACCCTAGTACAGCCAGGTGGAAGTGCTAACCATTTAACCACTGTGCTGCCCCACATCCTGCTGCACCCAGCCACAACTGGATCGCTAAACTCTGGAGGGGGTGGGAACAGCTGGCTCAGGCTGTCAGTGGTGCACCGAGAGGCTGAGCCAGCTGCTGGTCCAGGTATCTAGGCGGATCCCAACATTATTGTCAGGATCCCTGCAGAGCCTGGACTGGGTTCTAGAACGTCAGCCGACAGTGGGCACTGCTATGACCCACAGGAGAAAGAATAGCCAAAAAAGCATTGGCAATACTTCTCCTTTAAAACAGTTACATTCTAATCTTGATGATATTTTTAAAGGTATAGCTGATATGGCTCCCATATTCAATGTAAGCTGGCTTTGTAGCTTGGCTTATATCAATTATGTGAATTTTTAAAGAAAAAAAAAAATGTAGAGAAGCAGACTATTACAGTTGAAGCTGAAATTAATTGAAGAATGTTTTTTTTCTCAGCAATCAATGGAAAAATGTATTCCAACTTACATGGACTTACAATGCATGTTGAGGATCTTGTAAACTGGCATTTAATTGGTTTGGGAAATGAAGTGGATCTGCATACAGTTCATTTTCATGCACACAGTTTTAAATACTCTGTAAGTATAATACATACAGTATATTGTGACAGTCTGTCTGTGTATCTGTTGCTGAAGCCATGGCAGTTTATATAGTTTCCAAAAGTAGTTTTGGTTAGAGTAACCCTAGGTTCACACATAACTGTTTTCTGCAGCGTTTTGCAGAAGCACAGTACAAACACTCCATTTAACATGATTTCCTATGGGAAATGTTCACATCTCCGTATTTTCACCTGGGGCGTTTTTTCAAAAGGGTCAGAGGCTTTTTTGAATGCGAAAAGTTGCATTTTTGGTTCTATAGACTTCAATGGAAACATTGCAGAAAAGCATGCAGTGATTTTATTCTGAGTTTTTGATGTGTTTTCCATTTTAAATCTGCCTAGCAACAAGAAGAAAAAAAAAAAAGAAAATGGAAAAAAAATAAAAAAAAAAGGAAAAACGCATCAAAAACATGTAAAAAACAATGCAGAAATGGCTCAAATGCAACCTGCATAGGTGTTATCCTAGTGTGACCTTAGCCTTAAGTTAGGTTCACACCTATGCAACTTTCATTTGACCCATTTCTGCATTGCGTTTTGGCACCTGTGTCTTTGCCACGTTTTTGATGCGTTTGCGATTTTTTTCTTTGTTTTAATTTTTGTTGTTGCTAGGCAGATTTAAAATGCAAAACACATCTAAAACACGGCAAAATGCACTACATACTTTTCTGCAGCTTTTCCATTGAACTCTATAGAACCAAAAAACACAACTTTTTGCGTTAAGAAAAGTCCCTGACCTTTTCTAAAAAATGCACCAGGTGAAAACGCAGAGATGTGAACATACACTATAGGAAATCATATTAAATTGACTGTAATGCATTTCTACAAAAAGCAAAACGCTTAGGTGTGAACCTAGGGTTAGGCTCCATTTACATCTGAGCACAGCGTTTTTTGTCGCATTTTGTCGCACGTGTTTTCTTTGTGCATTTTAATACAGCGTTTTTAGATGTTTTTGAACCAGTATTTAATGTAGGCTTATATGACTGGTTGTCTAGAGTAGCCAGTCTGACATGACGTTTCATATATCAAATATAGTGAAAAAAGAACAAAAACAGAGTACGTATATAAACAAACAGAGAGAGAGAGCAATGCAGGTCTGTGCAGTAGTTCATACGGTAATGTGAGGATAGTATGGAAGATGTGTTAAGTAATCACGCTAATGTGGTCATTTTATCTCTCTGGAAGGCTAGCATTCTGTTATACTGTAGGTATAGTGGATTTGAACCAACTCAGTAACTTCCATTAGATTAGAAACATTATCCTTTTTCCAACATCTAGTGATATTTACTCTGGCAGCTAGTAGAATATGTGTAACTAGTATTGGAAACAGGTGGGAAAACTATCGATTTTAGGGTTCAGCCTAGTTAGGGATGGATTAGGCATTGTCAAGATCCCTGTTATTTTGAAAGTTAACTGGAAGACCTTGCACCGCTATACATCAATGCACTCAATGCATTTAGGCATCTAAACGTGGTGAAGACGACTTGCTGAAGTTCAAACTGAACATCATAATGTGGGAGAAAGGGGCTTTAAGTGCCTTTGAGAGTGGCATGGTTGTTAGTGACAGACGGGCTTGTCTGAGTATTTAAAACACTGCTGATCTATTGCTGATTCTACAGAGAATGGTCCAAAAAGAGAAAATATCCAGTGAGCTGCAATTGCAAGGCATTTACAAAAATGTCTTGTTGATGTCAGAGGTCAGAAGAGAATGGACAGACTGGTTTGAGATGATAGAAAGGCAACAGTAACTCGTGTCAATATGGACCATTCTCTGAGGAATGTTTCAACACCTTGATAAATCTATGCCACAAAGAATTAAGTCAAAAAGGGTTCCAACCCGGGAATAGCAAGGTGTACCTAATAAAGTGTCCAGTGAGTGTACAAGGTTTTGGTCTGAGGAAAATGTAGGTATGCAGTAGGGAATCAGGTACCATCTTAAAGTGCCACTGAACCCACAACATAAAAAACTATCAACAAATAATGTACTACATGCTGTTCATACTCAGTCACTATGGGATTCGTTTTCTGTATTCTGCAAGAAACCTGGTTGGTCCTGCTGTTCTTTCTCTCCCCCTTTTGATCATGTCCCCAATGCAGTTTGAGATTCTGCAGAGCAGTGGTGGCAGCTACTGCACATGCTCAGTTTTCAGTGAGTTTCTATGCTGAGCATTTACTCCTTATCACATTTGAGCAGCCCATGTGAGTCACACATGTGGGCGTATACAGATTGGTAAATGACAGCCCACTCCCTCCCTTCTCCTCCATGCCCACTAACCAGCCAAATACAATGGTTGTGGGACATTGCATCTTGACTGATGGATGCTTTACCTCCCTGTTATTCTAAGACATAAGCTGGAGGAGCGTGACACAGCCTGTGACAGACAGACATCCGCCCACACCGTGTTATTGCCGAAAAATAAATAAGATTTAATTTCAAATCTTTATTTGTATAACTATTTAAAACAGTTTATTGATATTAATTATTTATTGCCAAATACTTTTTTATATTTTGAACATGTGACCAGTAGCAGAGGACTAGAAGCTCCTTTTGTTTATGCTTCCATGCAGACAGGCTGGGTCATGTGACAGCTGTTTATCAATTAGGAAAAAGTTTTTTTCCTTATTAAAATAATCACAGTGCCATCCCATCATCCATATACAGAAAGAAAAGGAACATGTAAATCAACAGTGTGTGTTTAGTATCACTTTAATGATAGCTTTTGCATTAACCCCAAATAATTGACATAGCTAGTAGCTGCAATTATACATTTTATACAACATTGTAATATAATACATTGTCTGAGGCAGTTAAGAATTAACTAATATGCGCACATTGTACATTAAATTTGATAAACAACAAAATGTTTCAAAATGAAAGACAAGAAACTTGGACTACAAAGATGTAAAGACAGTACTTAATTCGTACTGCTTGCTTTGCAGATGGGTGCTGTTTACCAGACAGACGTATTTGATTTGTACCCAGGGACTTTTCAAACTGTTGAAATGACTGCAAAGAACCAAGGAACATGGCTACTACATTGTCACGTGGCTGATCACATTCACTCAGGAATGGTGGCATTGTATTCAGTACTTGAAAATCAGGACAGTGAGTAATTCTCTTATCAGACGCATGCATGTTGATTTACTGTACAATATTCATTTTAAAATTCCTGTTATGGTAAAAAAAACTACCTATATAGAGTACATTTTAAAGCTGGTTATAAATGAGCAAGTGACCCACTGAGAGCAGTTGAAGGTGAGACATTCCTCAGACTTGCTGCCTAAACAGTTGTTTCTCCTATCCAACAATGATTGGCTACTGTTAGCTGAAGCAATTATTTCACTTATCCCATTCACTGGCAAAATATATTCTAAAAACCTAGCCTAAATTATTATTGTCAATTATAGGTAGGCAGAGATGAGATACTGAAACCCACACCCACTTTCTCTTAATCCTGCAATGTGTTCAACTTGATGAAGATCATATAGTAATGAGCTGATAGTAAATGTTAATCAGCACTAATCAATGTTAAATTCTTGTGATGTGTATATTATAGTATGGAGTTTTAGGCACCACATAGCAAATAATGATATAGGCATTTTAGAGTGTTTAGAGGTGTATTGCTTGTTAATAGACAGTATTACTTTCAGTAAAATACTAGAAAAACCATGTTCAGTCTCAGAAAAAAAGTGACTTGAAGGACAGGAGATGTGTTGCTAGCAGTATCACCACGTAAAAATAAAGTCCTGAAAAAGCAAACCTAATGCAGCCACGTCATCTGAGGACTGATAAGCTGCAATATATTACATTATTGTTCTTACGTTTATTTACACTTTATGCTCAAGAATGCTTTACCAAATGTGGCAGCAATGTCAAAAACATTTGTAAAAAGGTGGACAAAGCCCTTGGGTTGCCAAGAAGGAATGTTTGCTATTAAAGTGTTACTAAACTCACAATGGTAAAATCAGTCTGTATATGTAGCAAAGCTGGCTTGTTATACTCACTGTGGAACCCAAGGGGTTAATCCTCTGCATGCTGTTTGATCCTGTCTTCTCTGAGCCTCCCCTTCTTCCAGTGTCTCCCTCTGCATACGTTCAGTTTAGTGTGTATTGCTAGAGAGGTTTTTTTTCTTGGGAGAGTGCATGTGTGATCAGCACAGGGCCAATCAGCACTGTTCAGACAGAGGTCAGGGATCCTCCATCCTCCTAGAGCAGAAAGAAAACTCCTCCTAAAAGCTAATGTGCTCTGCTGGACACTGATAGAAGTCACAAGACTGATCTAACTGCTGATGAGAAAAGGTATTTAGCAGTTTATATTTACTAAAATAATTGCACTTCCATGTCCTGTGTACTGTGAGAAACCCAAAGTCAAATAAGCCAAAAGCTCCTGTGCATGAGTGTAGAAGGCTGAAGACAGGGAGGTATGGTGGAACCCAAATAAATGCGAAATTCAAGAAGATAAGCAAGCCTTGCAGCTCCCGTGTACAACAGGGGAAGTCAGGCGTAACCGCAGGAAAAAATGGAACAAGAGCGCACTGGCCTAGCGCATTATCCCAGATAACAACTTACTGAATGAGAGTTGAAATATACTACAAACAAGAAGTGACAAATCACTTACAAATAACAATCACTGGAAATATGCTCCATATGGCACCAAGATCTCTGACATAAAAGAAGTGTCACCCAAGTGCCAAAGAAAGCTGACGCGTTTCGAGGGAAGCCCAGTTCCTCAGGGCTCTTTCCTACTGTGAGAGACCAGACAGAGTGAATGCAGGGTCCTGGGTTTAGTAACACTTGAAGCACATTCTATTGCTGTTGTGTTGTTACCAGTGAAACATATTTTACGATAGTTTGCCTTGCAGAAATAATGGCACAGTGCATTGCTGCTTTTAAATTAATAAACAATATTGCATTTGCTTAAATGTGAGTGTATGCATTTTAAATAAATATCTTTAAATAATTCTGAAAATCTTTTTAGTAAGTAATGCTGCATATTCTTTTTTTTAACATTTGAATTAATACATTATTATTTTTTTTAATTAATTTCTATTCTTTTTTTTTTTGCAGGAAAGGAATCAATATTCCAAAAGCTTGTTAAGAAAATACCTGTCAAAATAAACATGTAGAAAATATATGAAGAAACTTTGAACTAGATCAAAAATTGATTTATTGTAGTATTTTGGTATTTTTTACCTTCTGAATATATTTTCCTGAAAGAAACCAAAGTCAAATAGTTTATTTATGCACAAACTATTCTACATTTTTTACTAAGTGGGTTTCTGTTATGAATGAAGTTGATTACAACAGCTACAGTATATTTCTGCTCATTGAAATCACCTGCCCTGTATGAATACCCAAAACTAGAATTAAATCCAAAACTTTTTTGGTAGTCTTGGCTATAGTGGGAGATGGTTGAACCCACTGTCTGTTTTTTTTTTTTTTGTCTGTGTGCTATCGTGGAGATGTCCCTTTTCTTCTTGTTCCAAAGATGCATTCCGAAGAATAGGAAGGTAAGTGAAGTCTCCCCAAAGGAAGGGGGTAAATGAGCTGTACAATCTTCTTTAGATCTACCATCACCTACGTAGTAAAAGGACCTGCCAGATTGGATAAAGATTGACTGGGTAGATTAAGTGTGTCCTCCTGTTATATAGTTTTGGTAAATCTAGGTGATTCTTCAGAGATTATACAATAAGATTGTATAGTGTAAGGCCACTTTTAGACTATTGTCACTGGAACAGGTGTTCCTTTCTACTCTTTCCTACTCTCCTGTTCTTTTAAAAGCTGTAACATTTTGGATTTCCCATTACTTTACTCATCTGTTATTTTAATAGTCAGCAAGCTAATCTTGAATGTGATACAGATGGCAACCATGTTCTATTTGCATTTTGATATTTTTTACTGTACTGTACTATAGAGTGGAAATTTTGCTCAAGTTCCAAGTTCTTGTTGGTAACAGGTACATGAATTTGGGACAAGCACTATGTATGGGGTGCAATGAGGCCAGAGTGGCCATGCACACTCTTGGGGGTTGTTTACTAAAGCTGTCACATGCAAAATCTGGTGCAACTCTGCATAGAAACCAATCAGCTTCCAGGTTTTTTTTTGCCAACCCTTAATTAAACAAGCTGAAGTTAGAAGCTGATTGGCTACCATGCACAGCTGCAACAGATTCTGAGCGCTCCAGTTTTAGTAAATCAACCCCTCTATCATCAATGCAGCTGAGCTCCCTCCCCACCCCTGCAGCTGTCACACAGACAAGGAGTTTTGTAAGCTGGGTGAGCGCAACCTGATTGCATCCTGACATCAAGTCACATGTGGAGATGGGGTAGCTACAGCAAACATGCCACCCTGCTAAACAGCATATGCTCATGTATTATGCATTTCTGTATCATAATTGTTAAAGCAGAACTGAACTTTCCTATAATTTACTGCCAAGGAAGCTGCCATCTTAGCCTGAAACAAGCCATTTGGGGGCTTGCCAGTTGGTTTAAGAGAAGAAGCTAATAATTATCATTCAAGAATGCCTTAAGTGTAACTATTTTGGAAAACAGTTTAAAAGGAAACTAAACGCTCCATATTAAGCCGGCCATACATGGATCGAATTCAGAAAGAATTTCCTTTTGAAAATCTTGCACCGTTAGTGGGCAACAGCAAATGGATGATTTTTGAGCGACTATCGAATTTGAGTGATCGGGCATGTTGGATTTTTCTTTGAAAAACAAACAAATTTCTAATCAATGGTGGGAGAATCATGTGATAAATGTAATAAAAAAAGAAATGAGCTGACCTGGAAAGAAAAGAAAATTCCTGTACACAAACATTTTCTGTAGTAACATGTCATGAAATTAAAGACTTGGTTGGTCAAATTTCAAAATAAATCAATGGTGGCACCACTGGATTACAAAATGCACAAAATTTCCGATTTTCTAAAGAAAATTCGTTCAGAATTCAACTCATGTATGGCCTGCATTAGCCTCTGTTTGATCAGCAACTGCCCCAGTGCTGCACGTGGGATCAGTTATGACACCAGCCATTTAATGGTTTGAGAATTTGGTTGAGAGCACAAGGAAATGTGATAGCATTCCTGGCATGCTGGGAATGCAACTGTTTTTTGAAACTGTTAAATCAATGGATTTAGTTCTGCTTTGAGAACCATGTTTTAGAAATGTAAAAAACCAGCTATGAAACCACTAAACAGCTCATCCACTCTCTCATCATATCACGACTCGACTACTGCAACTCCCTCCTCACTGGCCTGCCTCGCCGCTGGCTATCCCCGCTTCAGTCGATCCTGAATACGGCTGCCAGACTCATTCACCTTTCCAACCGCTCTGTCTCCGCCACCCCCCTCTGCCAATCCCTCCACTGGCTTCCAATTGCGCAACGGATCAAATTCAAAATCCTAACACTGATGTACAAAGCTGTCCACCATACTGCCCCGAACTACATCATTGACCTAATATCCAAGTACCGCCCAGCACGCACACTCCGCTCCTCACAAGACCTCCTTCTCTCTAGTTCCCTGGTCTCCTCCTCCCATGCCCACCTCCAGGACTTCTCCAGGGTGTCACCCATCCTCTGGAACTCCCTGCCCCAACCCATCAGATTATCACCTATTCTCCTCTCCTTTAGGCGCACCCTGAAAACCCATCTCTTCAGGGAAGCCTACCCCACCCCCTGCTAACTTGCCGACCTCCTCCACTCTTCCTACCACTCCATCCCCCACAGCTATCTCCTCCTGTGCCACCATCCCCCCCCTCCTAGATTGTATGCTTGAAAGAGCAGGGCCCTCGATCCCCTCATGTTTTGCATTGTATTGGTATTGTTCTGTCACATGTTCTGTCCCCCTTTGTAATGTACAGCGCTGAGTGAACTATTGGCGCTTTATAAATACTGTATAATAATAATAATGAAATATCAACAGTGTACATCCACATATAGGTTGTATTTTAATCGCCTCCCGCGCGTCATATAAGGAAATGGAGGGAGGCGGATCTCTCGCTCATGGAGGCCATCATATGACGTCCTCCCACTCTAACTGCACATGCGTGCCCTCGGGGGCATGGCAATCAGTGGTGCGCTGTGTCTCTGGGACACAGCGGATCACCGATCAG